TTCGGGGGTTGAATGACTAACACACCCTTGTCGCTTACTTCCACCAGCGAGTGGGAACCTTGTGAACTTACCTTGGACTTGTAAGTGCGATCCTGATGTTGATCTTAAGGATTGAGCACATCCGGCGAAATCCGCATCTGCAAAGAGTCCTAACGATAAATCTTCAATTTTGTCACCGACCCATCCTATCATTTTGAGGGACAATGTGGAATTAACTTAACACATTAAGTGATGAAGACGGGCGTCATCACCCTTAGTCCACTTGGTCACATTGCGTGCCAATGCATTGATGGATCTTAAAAGGTCAAACCGCGCAATGCGGGCTGCATACAACAGCTTCATAAGCACACTAGCTGCATGCGGAGCTAGATTTCCCCGATTCGGCATCTCACTGTCTTGGCCAGGACGTGAGTTGACGGTCTCGTTGAGAGCCGACATCTCCGGATCGAAAGAATGTGCACACCACGGACATTCGACTTTGCGCTTTCCATCGGAAGGAGCTCGGTAAGGGCTGCATTTTGTTTCCTCTGGAAGGCTTGGAGTCGAAACCTTTTTCAATTTTGTGTCCTTACCAATTATGTCAAGAGACTTTTCTACCGATAACTTTAACAATCCTTCCATGTTATAAGTTATGGTCTTGACTTTCTTTCCATTATGGAGTTGAGTCTCGCCTTGGGAAAGCACACATCCAAGATAAAGACCCAGATCAGTTTCGGGTTCGATGCGTAAAACCGTACGCAACATCTCCCAACCTTTGGCCAAATTTTCAGATGGTCCAGCTAGCTTGAGGTCATCCACATAGATCACCAACAAAAGCTTGAGCTTATCATGAAAATACATTGATGGCCATTCCTCTCCAATGGGCTTAAAACCAATTTCTTGGACCTTCTTATCACAATGTTGTTCCCACATCGTGCCTGAATCGGGATGTCCATATAGAGCTTTGTCAAGTCTTACGACAGGACGTCGATACTTCCAGTATTGAATCTCGGGTGGCCAAGCGTCGGTAGGTAACTCCACCCAGCATAAAGGCCCCTTCAACTTCGCCTGGATGTAGGCTTGGATCGCATCTGCGAGCTTGACAGAATGCCCAGGAAGACACCCAAAGAAATCGGCCCACCGTGAGGCTTCGAAGGAAGCAGGGGAATTCCCTAAATCTTGAAAGAATGCTGCCTCCCAATGTTGGTTCTTCACTTGATTGCCCAGTAGAACACCTCGTCCTTTGAACTTTCGACCTGGATTGCTCTCAGGCAACTGGTAGTTCTTTTCAACACATATGCCATGGACTCTTGCCATATGTATCTCCTTTTTGTTCTTCTTTGCTTCCGCAACTACATCATCGTATTCTCGGACCATAGAGAAATCAAACACTTCTTGATCTCGGAGTCCTTTCCATTCCTTAAGCATTGCCTCCTTTGCTTTAGGATTGGATTCAATCTCTGCTCTGCCAACTGGTCTTGAGACCATGGCGTTGAAGAGCTTTCCCCCCAGACCATCAGGAGGTACTTTGGTTCGATGAATGTTGTTGGGTGCTGAGGTACATGGCATAGTAGGGAATGCTATGAGATCGTCATCATCGTCAGTAGGTGAGTTCTTCATGTTCTTGACATTGATACACTTGCCGTTCTTGATCATGGTCAATTCACCCGGCGTTGCCGTGGAAGACTTCGAGATCATACCTGACAATGTATTCCAAACTTCACCACTCCATGATGCTTTCGGACCACGGCCCTTCTCGACCTCCGACCATTCGTCCCATTCAGTGAGATATTCCTCGTCGTCCGGGACGTCAGTAGAAGCATCGGAACATGGGCTCGCATCAGCATTCCTTCTGATCTTCCGACAATCAATGTAACGTTTCCCATGAATGTCATCGTCATCGACGATATCATACATGTCAAGATATGCACTCGTACATGTAGAAGGTAAAGTAACTTTGTTCTTCATCACCTCACCAACACCTGCATCGGATTTCTTCGACTTTGAGTGCGGATCGTCCTGCCCACCATCATCGTCTTTCTCGTCATCATCTTTGGACTTCGGCATGCCTTTGTCCTTCTTCGAATCTTTCTTCTCCTTCTTCAGAGATTTCTTCTTCACTTCCTCAACCTTTCTTTTGTTCTTTTCGTCAGCCTCCTTCTTTTCCAACTTCTTCTTCTCGGCCTTGAGGATGACGTTTCGGTCAGATTGAGATAGCTTTCGCCATTCTTCTGGAGAGTAGGTACCCTTAGGTCTCAATGAGGTTTTGAAGAGTCTTCTACCATCTTCTCCAATCTTGTAAGGGTTTCCCTTGACATTCAATTTGACCTTCTCGCCGTCATCATTGAGGTATATTCCCGTCCCCGGCTTTGCCTGACCTCCAATGATCTGGTTGTGCATCAATAAGTTCTTCCAAGGTCATCTCTTCCGGGTCCTTGTCATCGAAGATACCCTCAGGGGCTTCGAGCGGTTTCTTTGAGGCTTTTCCACCACTTGGTCCAGGTCCACCATCGTCTCCGTCATCAAGCTCGTCATCGTCCTCATCATGTTCGTCTTCCTCATCATCTCGAGGTCTTTTGGATGGTTCACGTTCACCATCAAGAAGTTCTCTTTCTTTCATTCCCTCCAAGGTAGTGTTCACTCTTTCATATTCTTGTTTACATGGGAATGTCAATGGAGTGACCATCTCTACTTTCTCCGTCAGATGAGGCTTGAGAAGACGATGTTCTGGTTTGCTGGCATCATCACCAAGGTTCTGATGTACAAACTCGCTCAGTGGCCAGACTTTGTATTGTCGAGACCAGTGCATCCCTGGGCCAATGTGATATCCTGCGAAAACTCCTGGTATAGAATCAGGTCCAAACTTATGAAGTTGTCCTGCTTCTCTCGTCTTCGGAGGCTTGTAGTTCACACGAGCACCATAGGGAATGAGTTTTCCAGCAAAGTCAGTTCCATGGAGTTTGCACCAAGCACTAAGTTCATCATCATTGGGTTCTACATTGAGTAGATGGCACACACAAAGGATTGCCGTTCTCCAGAAACATGGTGGTAATCCGGCCTCTAACAGACATGTAGACGTTGCAGTCAGAATAAATTGGTTCGTTCTTTCGGCGATGGAATTTGTCTGAGGTCTTCCAGGCAGTGAATGATCAATTGGGATCTTCATCTCATTCATCGCTTCAATGAATTGTGGAGCACGATCGGAATATGCCTGTCTGACCTTCTTGGCGCCGATGAACTGTTTCACTGCTCTGACTACATCATCTTTAGCCATTCTGTCGGACGGATAGGCGCCGATGATTCCTGTGAAACAATCTCTGACGACCAACACTTCCTTCTCAAGTACCAATACATCATCATGAACTTTGGATGTATCAACATCATCGAAAGTGATGAGGTCGCCGAACTTCTTGAGTTCCCTTTTGTATGATCCTCTGCGAGTCTTGAAGTGTTTCATCTTTGCGCGAATGCAGGAGTCACAGTATGGATTCTTATATCTGTGAGTCAGTTTGTGGTTCAGACTGTTTGCTTCCCTTTTCAGTGTTCCTCTCTTGGCCACCCTGGACTCTCCTTCAACAACATCGACTTCGATGTCATCTTCGTCACCTTCAGCGACTTCTTCAGGGACTCCATGTCCTTCATCCTCTAGGTCGGTTTCTTCGCCACCTGGGGGACCATCATATGGAGTTCCTGGTGCGTATCCTTCATCATCAGATGGGACTTCTTCTCCAGGTGATGCCACTTTTCTTCGTCGGTTCCCTGCCTTCCTCTTCTTCTTCACCTTAAGCTTCTTGACATGTCGGGAATCATCTTGATCATCAACTGATACCTCAAACCCACTTTCTCCATCCAGATATACTCTTCGGGACTTCTGGCCTATTTCATCTAGGCCATCGAAGTTGTCGATGTACTCTTGAAAACGTTCAAGTAGATCATGGATCTTCGATGTTTGATGACATTCATATGGAGTACTTTCATACGTCCCAAGATCAACGTAGGGGATGTTGTCATGAATCGTCAGATCAATACGTTCCCCGTTCTTCGTGATCATGAATGGCATCTTGCCTGAAGGCCATACGAAGGAGTATCCATCTTCCATGCATCGTTTCCCAAGAGACATCACTGATGGAGTGTCATCAAGGACGTAGGCTTGTGAGATCTCGTCAAAGGTTCCCAGATCAATTTCGGCTTCAGTTTGGGTAGCAGTTGAACCGTTTGCAGTGTGGAACATGATGGGGTCACAAACTCTCTTCTTCAAATTCATTCGTTCAGCCTTTCGTGCCGAAATCAGATCATGTCCGCTACCAGAATCGAGAATGAATCTTCGATCTTTGGCTTGTACTGGTAGTGAAATGCACATGAGATTCTTGGACTTCTCGAGGGATCTTTCAACTTCATGCTCAACAAGCTCCTCCAAGAAAATCAGATCTTCTTTATCACCATCCAACTTGATCAGCATGTCGAACTTTGGGCCAATGATAATCCTCACTTCGTCCACATATCGATGAAGTCCATCTTTCTCCATGATGATAGCTTTAGCTCTTGCCCGAGTTTGACCTAGTGTGCTGTCAGATTTGGATTGATCATCGGTCAGATCCTCGATCTTTCTGAATACGTAAGGCTTGTTGGGGTCACGATAGATTCGCTTGGGCATTCCCTCCGGGTAGTCCTTGATATGAATCTTGTGGATCTCAGGTTCCATGTCGAATGTGATCTTGCGAACATCAGAAGACTTCTTTGCGCTGGCTACCCTCGGTGAGGAGTAATCATTTGCATCTTCAGTGTCGCTATCAAAGAAGGAATCGATGGTAATGGGAACAGCTTTCTTCTTCTTGTCTTTGTTGCTGGCTCTTTCAGAGGATGCTGATGGTGACTGGTCTGCATGTAGAAATTTGCATTTGCTTCCAAAAGTACATGTGCCCTTTTGCCACTGCCAACATACTTTCTTCTTCGGTCCAGCAGATGAAGAACTTCCCTTACTCCTCCTTCCAGATGAATCTCTGCTTCGACTTCTACCCTTCTTATCCTTCATCTTGGCATCATAGACTTTCTGAGAATGACTGTAGAGACATTTGTCACCTTTATTGCATCCACCTTTATTGAAGAAGTAATTGCAAAAGATCTTCTTCTTGTCAGTGGGTGATGATGATCTTCCCTTCCCTCCTTTGCCCTTGCCTTTCTTGTTCTTGTCGGCATGAGACTTCGGAGAAGGCGTAGGAAGAACAGAAGCAGCTTCACTTTTTGCCTTGGCCTTCGGCTTCCCTTTGGGAGGATCACCGGCAGATGAAGCGGCTGCAGCGTCTTCCTTCTTTGTCTTGGTGGGGGCGGCAGCTTTCACGTCATCTTCCAATGCGGGTGTAGTTTTGTTGGATGACATTGATATTTTGACTGCACGTTCCCTGTCTTTCAACAGTCTTTCTTGTTTCCCTCTGGCAATGTATCCTTTGATCATACCGATTAGGAATTCATAAGTCTTCTCATGATGCCCTTCATCGAATGTACGGTATCGGCTGATATCAAAGTGCATGAGTTTTGAGTGTTCAATCTTCCGGAACAATGTGTCACGCAGGGAATTTGCAGAAGGCCGATCATCATGTTTCATGTTATATATGATGTCAAGCCACTTGTTGTAGAAGGCCTCGAGTTGGTCATCTCCATAATAGCTGAACATGTACAAATGATGAGCGTTGTGGAGAACTTCAGTATGATCAGGTGACTTGAAGCTAATCAAGATCATTGCGAATAGTTCTCGTCCCTTAATGAAGTCTCCACTCTTCCCATACATTTGGTTCTTCATGGACATGTCATACTTCACTTGCATAGACTTGTCCCCAGCATAGTCGATGACTTTCCTCAAAGCATTGGAGAGCTTAGCATCAATGGATTGGAATCTCACCTCAGGTGCTTTGGCTAATGTTTCCAAGTCCGGTTGATCTGTGAGACATGGAGCTAGCCACGCTTTCCAATCATCATAATGTCGATCTCCACTTGCAACACAAACTTCATGAACGACACTTCCTTTCCAAGATGAAAGTTCAGTTGTCTTAGGCCAAGGTTGTAGGTTGATCTTCTCCGCTTCTCTCTGAGAGATAGAGGATTTGGATTTGTCCTTCGCGAGGTTCTCCAATTCAATGACGTTGGTGTTGTACTCGTTCCTGAGCTTCTCAAAAGCTTCGGCTTCGGCACGAAACTCTTGCTCTTCGTCATTAGCACGATCTTCAGCTTGGGAAAAGTTGTTCTTGTAGTAGTCCTTACGCTCTTCCATCTTCTTCGTCTCGAAGAGCATTGACTTCTGACTTCTTTTCTTGTTTCATTTCTTCCAGTTCAGCTTTCAACTTGGCACACTTCTCTTCACACTCGTTCCTGGGGAAAGCATTGTTGGACGATCCATACATTATAGCTTGTAGGCTCTGTGCAGAAGAAGAAGCGGCCTGATTCTCGAGCTTCAATGCAGCGATGGTGCTCGACATTTCCTCCACCTCTGTTTGACGTTCACTGACAAGATGGTGCATTTCTGTCAGGTGGCTCTCAGGAATAGAATAATCTGTTGCTCCCTTGATGATGAGTCGTCTATCATTCAGCATACTGATAGCTTTACCGGCATCACGATGAGCACGATTGATGGATTCCTCCTGAGTCGCTACTTCAGTGTTAAGTCGATTGATTGCCTCATCTCTGTCACTGATCTCATTATGCAAAGCGTCAAACAGGTTACTGGAAGTGTTTGGATTGTTGCTCATGAAGTCGATGCTTCCCAAAGCATCTTGGTACTTCTTTCCCAATGAATCATATGAGCTTTGATAGGTCTTAAGCAGTGCTTCTTTGTCGATAAGCTCAACTCTAGTCCTCCGCAGCATAGCGTCAACGTCATCCTTATATTTGATGGCCTTCTCGTACTCACTATGCAATTGATTATACATCTCATAGTAAATCCCATGTGACGGAGGGACACTTGGAGATGCATGTCTTGCTTGTTGGCACGAGAGTTCATGATACTGATTCTTCGATTCAGTCAGTTGTTGTTGCATTCGATCCAAAAGGCTCTGCTTCATATGTAATTCAGATCGTAGTTCCATGATCCTCATATCACGCATCCCGCTCACCTTAGAGGTCAACTCTTCAGAATACCGATTCTCCGATGTGGCCAGTTGTGATTGTAGTCCTTCATTGCGGATGACCTGCAACTGTAGTTGTGATTCCTCCAGAGCTAGATGGTGTTCGCATTCAGAATACCTGTTGTGCTCGGATCTCAGATCGCTACGAAGTTCTCTCATGATATCTTCCCTCTTTGCATCAGCAGAATCAAGCTCCGTTTCCAGCCGCCTGATGTTCAATGACATAGTGCTCTTCATTGTTTGGTTCTGATTCGCAATCTCGAGCATCTCAATGTGAAGTGCACATGTTTGGTCATTAGCATATCCGACAGCTAGGGCTTCCTGCTTTGCATTCATCTCTGCGTTTTCCAGTTCCAATCTAAGTTGATTGATATGAGCACTCGCATCTGCACCTACATGTACCATGATTGCATTCGCTTGTCCTATTTGTTCACTAAATTCAGATCTCAATTGTGGGTATCGATGTTCCAGATGGGATGCTGCTTCGTTTGACATGGTTCGATATCTCTCCAGCTCTTCAATCCTGTAAGTTGCTCCTTCGTCCTCTTGTTGTGCGGCGAGCAGCTCAGAATTCAGGGCTTGAAGCTGTCGAGCCATCGATGTCATCTCATGATGAGTGGTGTTCTCCAAGTAGTTGAATTGTTGATCGGCATAAGCGGCCATTTCGGTTAATCTCGCCTGAAGCACAGATTCTTCTTCAGTAGCCCTGTCCAGTGATGCTTTGTATTCTGATAGCTCACTCTGATAGGCAGTGAAGACATCGCTACCACTTGATGGAGCATTCACTTGTTGAAAAGATCCTACTCCTGATGGTGTAGCGTCCTGAATCGGTGAAGGCGGATTCGAAGATGTAGGCTTTGCCTTAGTCCTCGGAGTCGTCGGAGGCGACGATTGTCGTGCGGACGATCTTCTCTTTCCAGGTGTACTGTCCCTGTCTTCGATTGCTTGCATTGTCGGCATTAATCTCCCTCTCGGGGCAACCAGAGGTCGTCTGGATGTGCTAGGTCTCAGTTCTGAGGTTTCGCTTCCACCAGTATCGAAACTCTGTGAAGAATTTGACTGCGTGCCGGCAGCTGGTGCGGCGGCATGTCCAGCAAATGAGAATGCGTTATCGCTACTATCCTCTTCAGCCATTGATTGTAAGGTCCGCAGGTACCCGCACGTAGGCTCCGTGGGAGACCGCTACGGCTGATAACCTGTGAATTGGATGTTCCTTTGGATATATCTGTAGTTGATCAACGAATCCAATGATCAAGCGGAAAGCAGCTTCGGCATTGCCAACTTTTAGCGTGGACCTGCAGTTAGGGGTCTTGAGCCAAAGGATCAGCGGTTTTGCTGTCCCTTGACCTGCTGGTAAACGACTATGTATATGGGGAATAGGTATTGTGTTCTTACTGTGTCCCCATTCGCAGATATTATGTATATATATATATGTGTATGTATGTATGTATGTATGTATGTATGTATGTATGTATGCATGTATGCATGTATGCATGTATGCATGTATGCATGTATGCATGTATGTATGTATGTATGTATGTAAAGACATTATATTGCATATTATATATTATATATATACTGGTTGGTGGTTTTAACCATCTTGAAAAATATGAGTCAGTTGAGGTTATTATTCCCAATATATGGAAAAATAAAACATGTTCCAAACCACCAACCAGATATTATATCTATATGGACAATGGATAGACATTCACTATGTATAGTGGTACAATGTCTATATGTGGGGATATTATATTGCCATGGGTAGAAACAATGTTATCAAATAGATTCAATTAATCACTATAAAACAATATTGTTATATACTGCTGTTATCACTATAACTATATGATGATGATGATGATGATGATGGTGGAGATCTGAGTCTGAACATGTGGTTCTACAATGTTCCACACTTCTCATCTGAAGCTTCAAAGGCTACCGTCCCCTGGACATCTCAACGATCTTCAATGTCAATACCCTCTGGGAAACTATAACATAGCTATGGAAAATGGCTGTTTTTTGATACTTATAGTCTATATAGTTATGTATATGTTACTTTACTGGAGGGTATATTATGTATAGTTATGTATAGTTATGTATATACTAATGTAGCTATGGTTACTCGAGGGTAAGTCTGTCAGAAAGCCTTCAACCATGAAGACTGTCCCAGCTGTCCCAGCGCCTGAATGAAGTCCGACTTCAAAGCAGCTGCGAATTCGAGCAGCAAGGCCTAGAATTCAGCTCAGCAACAGCGGATTACAGCTGTGTTGATAAACAAGTTTCCAGGTGCCCTTGGTCAATGGCCATTTCAGGAACCTAAATTGGAGGTACCTACCATATGTAAGGCGTATGTAAGGCCCATGTAAGGGAATATCCCCACAAAAATATGGCCTTATATGGTACAGTACCTCCATTTTAGGATCCTGAATTTCCCATCCAAGCTTGGGTTCTGTACAAGTCTTACGACTGAAAACAACTGAACGCCAAACATGCCAAAGGTCACGGGAGAGCCTTTCAGAAGGGCATTGCTGAAGCATTTGTCACCATGTCACATGGGTTTCGCCCAAAATAGGGCACCCCCCAAATTCGATGGTTACCCATCATTCTTGACTATCAAAGTGGGCATATGTGGATATACCTACGCCATGTTCAAAGAAGCCCGCCTCTTCATTTTGAAACATCCAAACATTCAATAACATACATGGGTCCCAACGCCTCCAAACATGGTTGTTCAACTTTTTTCATATGACATCAAGGTCCTCCTTATTCGTGGTTCTCACATCAAAATAGCTGCTAATTATGGATGTTAATCCCCTCATTCATGTCTGAGAAATGAAGAAAGTTCACGTGGAAAGCATGTGTTGTATGCCATGGGGATGGATAAAAGTTCTGAACCCCTGGTAAACATCCAAATATCTGGTATATACATGGATGTTCGATGGGATGTTCAAGACCCTCAAAGATGGCAGCTCATATTTGTTCCATCAATCATCAATTTATCAATCCAATTTCCATCAAATTATTGTTGGGGATTGATGGTGCTTATATAAGTTGTGTAGATGTAAATATAATCCCGCTGTATCTCCATTGTGTCCCCATTAGATTCCGTTACATATATAAGGTACAGTATGTAATTATCATCAATTATCCACATTTCACTGGATTGAAGGGAAAAATCTACAGGAAACCACGGTTTTCCCCATCACTGTATGTGGTTTGCCTGTAAATTTTACCTTAAACCAATCCAATGAACAGATAGCCGCTATAGCCACCGGATCCCACCAACCTGACCCATCACCCACCATGCCGTGGCGCATCATCAGGCACATTCAACTTGCAGCGATCGCCATCGAAGAAGGAGAGGAGAAGATTCAACGTCTCGTAGTGCCTGGGCAGCGAACGAAGCAAACCTGGGATATGTTCATGGGCATATGATGGGGATATAGTGAGGATACATACCTTATATAACATTTGTATGGGGTATAATGGGGATATAATGGAGATATAACGGGATGATCTTCAACTTCTATAACTATAACCAATCATCATGGGATATAACTGGTATAATGGGATATAACCAGCTTATGATTTGGGTGTGTCTGGTTCAATAAGGATATGCTAGTGGATTAAGACCAGTTATGTGTTTCCACATTTTTTTGGCAAAATCCAATGTGAGATATCCCGAATTAGCCATCAAATAAGGCGGAAGGTGATCATGAATCAACAATCAAATGGATATAAAGGGGGACATACAATGCCTGATGGGATAGGTGGATGGTATTGTTATTGGAAAAACATGACGAAGTGATAAAGATCAAAGTTGATTGATTGATGATGGGCTAACAATGGGGATACTATGATAGGGATTTGATAATGGTGTGTTGTTGAAATAAGCTGGTGATTTTCCATGGTTTCTTGGGGATATCAATCTGATATCAACGGGGATACAAATGATTAGTAGGACATATTAACTTACAATATGATACGTCTTCTGGTAACCGCCCGAAAGAAGGTCAATATATAGATTCTATAGATCTTCCTGCCGTTCACCAACAGCCGGCACAGGAAAATCACCATCGCTACCACTTCATCCAAGTGATCCGGGTGACATCCGACCCAGCTCCACCAAAATCTCTGGGGTGTAGATCGCTGGGTTCTTGAGCCTGGGCAATGGAGGTGCCTGAGAAACCACCGGGAATTGTTTCGAACCTGATAGAAAAGGATAAAACTGGTTCATTTAATCACTCTTTGAGTAGGAATTACTTTTCTCTCTTTTTGGGGTTGCTATATGCAACCTATATAATTATATGTGAATCTTGGGGAGACGAAGCTGGAACCACACCACTAACAATATATGCAAATGGGAGCCCCCCAAACAAAATGCTTAAAACACGGCTTGAATTTTTCAAACCATGAAAATTCAATCGATAACATGTTGTTTCTTCTTGTTCCCATTGAAGTTTTGCATACCATGGCCACATTCTGACTTTACACAGCTGATCTCTATGGCCCAGAAGCTGCAATTCTCGCATGCGATACTGCAGTTGCAGCAACCAAGAGAGCTCCGATTGCCTCGTGACGTGGTTCTGCGAAGCAGAACGTGCAGCTGACGTTTAAACCATAAGTCAAAAACAAATCCACATTGCTATGGTGAATGTGATGCCAAATGAAATCTAAGTCAAATCCAAATCTATACACTGTGATACATCCAATATACAGCCAGTATACATCCAGTATACATCCAGTATACCCTCTGGTTATTTAACATAGCCATGGAAATGGCCCATTGGCCCATTCATAGATGATTTTCCCAGCTATAAACCTCCGTTTATAAGGGAATTTCCATGGCTATGTTAGTCATAACCAGATGGTACTTCTTGATTTTGACCTCTAACTGCTCAGTAGCTGCAGAAGGCGCCAAGTTGCTGCAAGATCTCCAAAGCGGATTCCACCAGCAACAGCTCATCTTCATCGCTGGCCTCGATCGAAGGGCATCTTCTATAATTTTAGTAGAGCAAAAATAAGCCACCTGTAAGTTTACACTAGTTCATACCAGCCATTTATGCTAAAGTTTTTGGGGTCAGGTTTTAGATTCCTTTACTAACATTAAACTGTATCCATCCATCCATTTATGCTATCAGTTTGGGGGTCAGGTTTTCCTATTGCTTCACTAACAGAACATGTTCATCTGGTTGGTGGTTTCAACCCCTCTGAAAAATGTGAAAGTCAATGGGAAGGATGACATCCCATATATTATGGAACATTAAACATGTTTGAAACCACCAACCAGCCATACATATTCCATTACCAGAGGGTTAATCACCATTAATATCCCTATTAAATCACCATTAAATCACCATTAAATCACCGTTAAATCACCGTTAAATCACCATTAAATCACCATTAAATCACCAGGTCATACACGTTCCATCTGTTTTTCCCATGGGATCCACCCCCCGCCCCAGCCCAACCTGCAGCATGCCGAAGACCAGCTGCTGACAGATCTGCAGCAGCAGCTGCTGTTCTGCCTCCGAGGACTCCGGCAGGGACGTCACCACATGGTACCTGACGACAAAAACCATGGATTTTCCAACGTTGGGATCCCCAAAATCTCAAATCCCATTGGATTTTTGTAGTATATAACTCCCCCCCCTCCAAAAAAAAAACGACAAGTTATGTTACGCTGGTTTTATATGGTTTTATAGGATGTTAGGTTTAAAGCTTCTATCTTTTCAGGGGGGTTGCTAAAACATTCTCTTTTCACATACAAACAATGAAATCTTAGTGGTATCCCCTTGAGATGTTGCTAAAACATTCTCTTTTCACATACAAACAATGAAATCTTAGTGGTATCCCCTTGAGATAAACCCAGATCGAGATGCATGCACAGCAAAATTCCCAACTCCCCTTGGGATATATCTGTGACGCCTAACAAAAAAATCCAGGATTTTTATATCTCTGGTCAAGGAACGCTATGGAATCTATAGGAAATTATACGAAATAAAGTCAAGATGTTGCTGCAGTACTCCATAGCATATTCTTCATGCCCTACTTCGACGCCAAAGATTGGTAATTGCAAAAGATTTGATGACCACATACCAAGCTTTCCCCCATCATAAATGGTGTCAGATCATATCTGATATGTCAATCAGAATTTGCCAGTCAGATTGGGTCTCCAATTAACTCATGTAAAAAAAAATCACCAATAATTGCCATCTCGACATCTTCTGCCTGGTATCCCGTGGAGTATCCCGTACTTAGATGGGCCATGGGATTAGCGATTCATGGTTAGTAACTGGGGATTTGTTATCCCCAAAAAATCCCAATGAAATAATCCAGTTACTACAACTAGTTACTAACCATTATAGTATCATTATAGTAATATATCTGGTTAACTAACTATTATAATCATGGAGTTGTTACCCTAATTATATCCAGTTACTAATCACTAATCCCATGGCCCATCCCCTGGTATCGTATCCCGTGGGGCGCAAAGGCGTCTTGCCGCAATCATCCAACAGCCAGGGAAAGGCGCGGTTTTCCAGAAGCGTCTCTGTGGCGCGCACGTTGCCATTGGAGGCAGCCAAATGCCTGGGAAGATCCACAGACCCATAGGCGGCCTAGGAGTTTTAACCAACACATGGTGTTTACCATGCGATGTTGGCACTCAACATCAACCCCAGAAGAATATTGAAGAATTAGAAAAATGGAGGTCTGTAGAGCACATCAACCGATAAACTGGTATGAACCCCAGAAGAATCAGAAAAATGTATAAAAATGGAGATGTGTAGAGCACATCAACCGATAAACTGCTATGAAAAACAAGTCACAAGGCTGAAGCTTACTGGAAAAATCGATCTACAATTTATTTCAGACGTGGCTTGGTGATTTATGATTACCATCTGGTTATTTATATAACAGTTTGCCATGGAAAGATCCACCATGCTATTAAGAACGGTAAATCATCTATTTCTATGGGCCATCTATACCATGGCTATGTTAGTCATAACCAGAGGGTATATAAATAAATCATCCAAAGTCAGACCATTTTAGTATTGACACCTATGGTTTTGGGGATCCCCCATTTTAAGATATTTTAAGGACACCCCGTGGCTTGGTGATTTATGATGATGTATTCTTGAAGTCTTGAGATTTCCAAAAAAAGGATAGTTATCAGCCAAGAGCCGCACCACTCAACCAAGAAACAATGGGCTGAAGTGCTGGTGCCCCGTGCGTTCATTGACATCTAACCCTGGGGCGGATGGTCATCATGGTCAAACGGGCAGGCTTATCCGGGGTGAGAATGTGCCAAAATATGCCAAACACTTGAAGTAAAGATAAGCAAAACTATTGGTTGATATATATATATAATTAAATACTGCTATGAAAGAAATCTTGGTGAAACACTGAAAATTGGGAGAACGTTTTGTTTCCAGAATGTGAAAACGAACACAGAAAAACTGCCCTGCCAACTGGATCCTCTTCGAGGATACTCTTCAAGGATACTCCAGAAAGAACATCTATATACCCTCTGGTAAACTAACATAACTATGGAAAATCACCATTTTTAATTGGAAAACTCACTATAAATGGGCCATTTTCGATAGCTACGTTAAATTACCAGAGGGTAACGACTTTCAAACTAATTTCAAGATCATCTTTTCCCAGTCGCCATACAAAGCTGTAACAAACAGAATGTAAAAAAAACACACCAGCTCTTGGCCTTTCACTACGACCTCGCAAACAATCCCATAGGATCCATGTATATCCATGGTGCTGCTATATATGGTAACATTCACCATCAGTATACCCCAGTCATGTTAGCATATATACCAGCACCATGGATCCGTCATGGGAATTGTACTAGAAAATCAAAAGGCCCGAAATGCCAAATTCTTCCAAGCGACCTTCAGCAATGAATCGGGCACACAATCGTGACAAGCCGCAGGCTGCTGCAGCATGGAGGAGAGAAATCACCTGGAAAAAAGGTGATTCACTGGGTTTCAGGGTAACCTTATGTGGTTGGAAAGCCACGTATTTTATGGGGAATTCTTGAATTCACTGTTAAATCTTGGGGGTTCTTTTATTCGCAAAGAAGATATAAAACCCATGTGTTTTTCCCATGAAATATGGAGGTCTCCTATAATATGACCAACCCCATGCCCCATTCCGATCATCCCCATACTCCCAAATATCTCCAAATATTGTATTAAGATAGATTAGACTAGACTATTAAACTATTAAACCATCACACTAAGTTGACCCCTTTATATCCCGATGATATGTCCATTAAAGGAGGTTTCCTCAAATAGGGCTACTAGTTATCATCCATTTCATATGATTTCGGATTTTCCCTGAAATAAACCATCAATTTTGGGGTACCCCCATATGGAAACCACCAAAATATCATATTAACTAAGATAGGTCAAAATAGAGTAGACCTACATCCATTTACCACCTGGTAATTTAACAGTTTGCTATTGAACATGGCCACATTTATTTCGTGGATTTACCCATGAATAGCATGGTGATTTTCCAGTTCGTAAACTGCTAATTGACCAGAGTGTATTGGTATCCATGACTATTTAGTTTTATATCTATCACTCAACTATTGATAGGATAATATCATATAATATCTAACTATATAACTGGTTGGTGGTGCAATAACCATCTTGAAAAATATGAGTTCGTCAATGGGAAGGATGACATCCCATATATGAAATGGAAAAAAACATGTTCCAAACCACCAACCAGTAAGGGGGGTCCTTAAAATGGGGGATCCCCAAAACCATAGGTGTCAATATTAAAATGGTCTGACTTTGGATGATTGATTTATATATCTATATATATATATTATATATATATATCCACCCTCTGGTAAAAACTAACATAACTATGGAAAATCACCATGTTTAATAGGTAAATCAACTATTTCTATGGGCCATTTTCAATAGGAAACTGTCAAATTACCAGAGGGTATGTAACTATTTAAAGTTATGACTAACATAGCCATGGTATAGATGGCCCATAGAAATAGATGATTGATTTTTATATATATATATATATATATATTATATCTAACTATATAAATGTTTGATATCCCCATGATGGCCGTCCATCTCCCCGTCCAACGCCATGCCGACGCCGACGCCGTGGACGCCGTGCCTCTGCGGAGCGCCCGCGGCGCGCTTCCTCGGTGGCCACGTGCACGTGCAGCAGCGAGGGCGTAGCCTTGGGTCCTGACGCCTCCTGGCAAAATGGGATCCCATCATGTGATGAACATAGTATGGCTATATGGCTATATTATATAGTATATAAATATATATAAGTATATTATACGAAATGTATGTGTATATATATAATTATGTATCTGTATGATATGTATGTATAATATGTGTATTATGTATATGTATATATATATATATAGGCTGGTGATGTATATCAGCTGGGTGGTTGATATGGCATGACCATAATATGCGGCGATATGGTGATAAAACAAATTAGAATATTGGTTGGTTCGTTCATAATTGTTCTTACTTTACAATTGTTCTAGACACCCACTGATTTTGTTGACATATCATCTTGGGTCCATCAGAGATATCAGATTTATATTTGAACATGGTTGTTGTGATAGCCTCAGCTGAAACATATGTCTGGCACTAAAAACATGGCTGTTTTCACCGTGTTCATTAATTTAGATTTGGCGCTTTAATATGCTTTAATGGTTTTAGTAAAAACTGCGCAACATGGTGCTAATGTGCTGAGTCTTGTAACTGGATGTGGTGGATCTTTAGAGCCCTGGACATGGAAACAAAAATAGCTGGCACGCACATATGTTTCCATGTGAGCTGTGAGAAAAAACACGGACATCTTATCCGACTTATCCTAACTCTTTGTACTGAAAAAACACGAGTCTTCCGCGAATCCTTTCGTTTTACGCGGCCACATGCGGCCACATTGTGTTCTGTTCCATTCACATTTCAAAACCTCCATTGAACGGCTCCTCAGACAGGAGTTGTAGGACCCTGTCCTCGGCATTGCCTGGGTTGCTGTTGCTCCTCTGGATATGGTGGGAGTCTTTTTGCCCAACTGGGGGCTGTAAAAGTTGTATATGGCAGGTCTGCAATCCTAAAGACTTGTGATTTGGTCAAGGGTCAAACTTAAAGATTCATGTCTTCATAAGAGATCAAGAGATAAAGTTAAAGTCTTTGCTCTGTGCAAATTTCCGGCTTCAATGTGCAGAAGAAAGGAGGCATTCATGGCCTTCGCAATAAGCACAACAATGTACCAGCAATCCAGTTGAATAAATCACCTACATGGGTTTCGAAAATTATGGTTTCCAGCAACATTTTGTCAGTCTGCATCATGCAGCAGTGGTTTCATCAATTGATCTACACATAACTTCCAACACTTGTTGTGGCTGGATCTGGTTTGCTGGTTTCATTTTTTTGAACCAAAGCTAGTCATGGGAACGCCTCGTACCAAGTAGGGACAGCAACACATATTTCAACCTACCTTTTGGTGATTTAACGTAGCTATGGAAAAATCACATATATATTTGATGGGTGGCCACAATTTCCACATGACGTGCATTTTCCATATTTTCCATAGCAATGGCAATGTTAATTTACCAATACCAAAACAAATCCCTAGGCCTCAGGGAAGCTACGAGAATTCACCAGCAGCTGTCGAAGGAGTTCGTGGTACTGGCTATCACTGAAAGCTTCCTGGGCGGCATCCACTTGAGTACCCTGCAGTGATTTTCCAATGGAACATCTACCTTGGGAATCTACAGAATCCTTGGGACCATGGGGATTGCAACTTCGAAGTTGCCCATGTCGGAAAAAGGTAAATGAACTATTTCAATGGCCATTTTCAATAGCTAGGCCATGTTAGTTTACCAAAGGGTAATCTTTAATGATTGACTGGTTGGTGGTGCAATTTCACCATCTTCAAAAAATATGAGTCAATGGGAAGCATGACATCCCATATATGATGGAAAATAAAATTCATGTTCCAAAGCACCAACCAGATGATGTTGATATTTCTACTATTTTCTGACATGGGATGCTCACAGGCTGGGTATTAGGGCCGGGTATTTTCACTTGGGACCGTAGCAACTCAGCATCAACAAAAAGCTAACCAGCGAGTGACCTTTTCCCACTCACCCAATGTCATATATGGAATCCCCTATCATAACTACGCAAGGAAATATTTAGTAATAGTGGGAAGGGACAAAGTAATGACGGATGATTCATAGAGACAACGAATACGAAGGACTTCTACGGAGGTTGATTCTGTCATCTAAGGTTGGCCGGAAGATGCCCTTTACAAAGGTGGCACCCCTAAATTTCATCCACGTTTGACATTGATCTCTTTCTACCAGTAAATTCAGATAATTCAGACATTAAAAACCCATGAAAACCCATGGTTTCCAACTAGCAATGCTCTACATGGTACGTGGTCCATATCTTCTCTCAACGGCTCCAGCCGCGCAGCCAAGGCGCCCAGGACGCTTGCGTGGGGACAACTTCGTCGTCCGGCCGACTGCAAGGTCCGAGAGTTGGCAATTCGGGATGTCAACGGTGGACATTTGGCTGGATCATGACTGGAAAGGATATGGCCATTTATTAGTTATAAGTACTAACAAAACCCCAATTATAGAATGACAATCCCATTTATAACCAGTTGTAACTGGTAAATGGCCATAACTGTGGAAAGGATATGGATATGAAATCAACCAACAGCAGTTGGAATATTTGCCTGAACGATCGGGATTGCAATCGCAATGAGGTACAACCAAAATGGAGGTTTCAGTGGGAAAATCGGCGAACCAAATGGACCATGTTCCACAGCTATGCAAAACATATTCCAAATCATTCAATGCAGAGTTGACACGTAGAAACTGGCACAACCATTTATAGAAACTCAGTCCCTCTGCAACAGCACATTGTGACACGTCTCCTGCGGGGACACCACACCTGGTTTGCAAGTTATAAATGGACTCTTCGTTCACAGCGAGGTGGGCGAAGTGTTGAGATAGCTGTTTCTTCTCCTTAGCCGGGGAAGGTCTAGATCAGAAGATTACTGATGTAACAATGTATATTGAACATTTTTCAACAACTTCGAAAAACATGTCATGGATTATATTGCAATCATGATCATTTTTGATTGTATATTACATATGAGATTATATTTGAACCCAATCCCAGTGCTTAATGTCAGGAGCATCCAAGCAGCAACCCGAAAATTACATCTACAATCTCCAACGATTGTTCTTGTGGGGTTTCCAGTCACAGTTGCATCTCGTGATGAATCTTATCAGTATAAATTTGTATATCATTACCCTCCAGTAAATTGACATAGACCCTGACAAATAGGGGTTGGAAGACTAGTTTCCTTTAAAAAGTGGTGATTTTCAGGGTCTATGTTAATTTACTGGAGAGTAATTCCCATGATATTCCCATGACATTCCCATGTTATATTCCCATGAGTGATGGCTTTCCAGCTCGCTGCCAGTCCAATCGCTCCTTCGACCGTCCCAGGCTCCGTCTTCATAGGCAGACTCGCCTTCACCGCTTGCACCACCATCTCCTGCAGCGGCGGAGGAAACATCTCGAAGGTGGTCCTGAGGCGAGGCAGGGAGGACATGGGAGGACTGGGATAGGTGAAGAAAGCTGGTTTTATCCATGTTTAGTCCATGTTTAATCAATGTGTATCATAGGTTTTTTTATCAATGTTTGATCTTTCACAATAGTTATGATAGGTGGTTTGGACAATTACCATAATCAGGTTTCACTGTATCATAGGTTTGATGATGCTTTATTGCTATTTATTGTGCTGTTAAATCCCTGCAGCCAAAAAAAGAGAGATTGGAAGCTGTTGTTTGAGGTTAATCTGTTTCATAGTGGAAGGATGGAAGCGGGAAATAATGCTAAAATATGCTAAAAATCTCCAGGTGGTGACTTTGAATTTTTGATGATGATATGATCAGAGTTGCAGGGGCGGTATTTGCCCCTTATGGATCCGTGGCAGCTGGGATTTCGCTGGGATTTTTGTGTCCAAGCCCAACCTTCCCAGTTGCTGAAACAAAGTGCTAACTACCAAGCACAAAAAAATGACTCACCAATCTACAACATGTACAATGTACAATTTATAACTGGAAACTGGAAACTCAAAGGTTTTTTTGTCAAAAAAACGACTTTCCATCCACTTTCCATCCATCCAGCCCTGCATCAACGCGCCATGGCACCAACACTCATCCGTTAGGGCGGCTTCGCGCAAACCGTGGAGATCCAGAGCCATCAACAACTTCTCTTGCGCTGACCCCGCTTCGATGCGTTCCGTCCTGGTCCTGGATAAGGATTCGAACAGCGGAAAAAACATCAGGGGATTTCATGATTGATAGCATGGGAATGCACACACACATAATATATATCTCATATATTTAGATACTATATATATATATGTATGTATTATATGTTATACAAATTGGTTTTGATATATATATATATATGTGTGTAATATATTATATATACATATATGTTATAATGTTCATATAGTCGTGTTGGAAGGCATTGATGTGTTTATGCCTGGTGAAAAAAATGGGATACTTTATGGGGATATATCTACAGTTGGGTACAACCAAGTTGATATGACATTTGGGTGTGTCTGAAATTGGGTGTATACCACATCAAACTGCCAAGTTTAAGAGGAAACATGACTATTAACCACTGGATTTGGGGGTTAGCCTACTCTTTCAAGCAAACCCATAGATGGATGATTGGATGAGTCAAGCTTTGAAGGCAAACCAGTTGGATTGACTAAAGCCAAGGACTGTTGACCCGCATCTGGCTCTTTTTGAACGCACTTAAATTGTCCTCAAATGAGACATTGGGGGAGTGGAAGCAAGCAGCTGGCAACGACTTTTTTGGCCCCTTGCCTGGAGGACTTGGACCCTGAGGAGCTGCACGAGAGTGCAGCGACCACTTTTTGGGGACCACATATGATCAAGTCAGCAATAAAAAAACAAAACCCACACAACAACTCCTGATGCCCAAACTCCAAACCAGTCTGCTGCTACGTTCTTGACCAAGTTGCGAACTGCTTCTGCAGTACTCCATGCAGCGCTGCAACCAAAACAATTTGTTGACCTCACACGGGATACATTTCTGTTATTTTGTTCTCAGACCAACCAGAGGGAGCCAAGGAAGTTCATCAATAGTGTCTCGGCCAATAGATATCAATAGATGGTTTGGACAAACGTGTTCTTTTCAACACAAGGGACAGGAACTCGAGAAGACGAAAGTAGTGTTCATTGTTAGTCTTTAAATATATAAACGTGCAAAGAACATAGTGTGTGCACGTGTATAAACCAAGGGACAATGGCGCGGAAGTCGTCAAAGCTGGGGCTCAGAAACCTCCAAAGCGGAAGTGATGTGCTTAGAAAGGGTCGCTACCAACAGGGCCTAGCTGTTATGACTTATAAATTGCAACTGTAACCTACACACACGCCTATAAACGTATAAATGTGTGATATAGTGATCTGCATATATGTATATATATATATATATGCACATTTTTTTTTGGTACACTAAATGTGGTTTATATGTGGATATATGTGGTGTGGTATATGATATGGTCATGATACTCTAGCGTCTTGAAGGTCTACATTTCTATCATGGGGTGGAGCTTCTCAACCTCAGCCGAGGCACTTTTGAATCACAAGCCTCTGCTCTTCTGGGACATAGGAGACCAAGCCTAGGTGTTCCAATCTCTTCAAATCTGTCACCAATTTGGGGGTCAGAACCAACAGGTGCCGTGATTTGGGAACGACCTTGACCAGAAACTGTTCAATGTCTTCTGCAAGGCATTTTGCTCCTCCTGGGCAAGGTGTCTTCAAGTGATTAAAGGGGGTTTGACCTTGGCGGCAGCATTTTCACCTAAGAAGTGTTCGTAATTCATGTGCACCGAACCTTGCAGCTATGTATAGCTATGGTATGTAGTACATGTTGCACATGTTGCTTGGCGTCAGTCAGAGACAATTAAAACAATGTATTGGATTTGTCATCCATTTCAAACAGGATCACGAAAAATGCCGACATAATTTTAATTTCACCCTATCTAGAATTTGGGAAGTTTTCTCACAAAATCCAGCAAGAGATCATGTAGATGCACTTTTAGCCCCCCAAAAGAGATCGAAACCAATTTGCTCTTCATCACTAGTCATCATCAATCCCTTTTGGGGGACCCCAATCTGTACAGGAGGACCCTGGTACGGCCAGTCGCCAGTCTGTACGGCCAGTCCTTCAGCAGGAAACCCGTGGAGACAGCATAGTGCAGTCGCAACTTCACATGTTCATCCAATTTCGAGGGCATCCAATCGTCAATGGTGATCTTCTCGGTACTCCCGGAGACCCTGAAATTCCACAAAAAATGAAAGTCGAGTGTCGAAATACATAATTTGTGTGGACCAGCAAAAATTTCATCGAAGATCAATTCATTTTTTCAGCCATCTACATCTATATAAGATGTTCAAATTAGATCATCAAGTAATACTCAAACATGTTCACTATCTCTCTCTCTCTCTGTGTTCACCCAACTGCACTCATCCCAGTGCTCAAACATTTTTCATTCCACAGCTGTTAAGGCGGAAAACATGTTTACTATTCGAACAATAATCATAATATATCATAATCATGTTGCTATTCTCAGTGCTCAAACTTCCCCCAAAAAATGGGTGCTCCCACTGGTCACAGCAAGGAACGTCTTCTCGAAGCGGTCCAAGAGCTTCTCGGAAGACGCCTGCCATTGGTAGCCACCTTTGTCGTCCTCGCAGCGCGGCACGGCATGGGCAGGATCTTGGGGCCACTTTTCAAAGGTCCAACATGTTGAGCTCAGAATCCCAAAACTCGTGATATCAACATAAAGTGGAACCGAAATACAAATATGGCCAATATGGTAGCAAAATATTGCCATATTCAATGTATGTATGTATCTATGTATCTATGTATCTATGTATCTATGTATCTATCTATGTATATATTTATGTATTTATGTATCTATGTATCTATGTATCTATCTATCTATCTATATATTTATGTATTTATGTATCTATGTATCTATGTATGTATGTATGTACCTATGCATCTATGTATCTATGTATCTATGTACTATGTATGTACATATGTATGTATGTATGTATGAATGTATGTATGTATGAATGTATGTATGTATGTATTTATTTATGAATGTATGTATGTATGTATGTATGAATGTATGTATGTATGTATGAATGTATGTATGTATGTATGTATTTATGTATTTATGTATGCATGTATACACCTGGTGCCTCCAAGTCACCACCTGGTGCCTCACCGGTCCCACCGGCATGGGCACCGGCGCCGCCACTAGCGAGGTCAGCGAGAGCCCCACGGGGCTCGGCTTGGGCGGCGAGACGACCTCGGGCACCGTGGGGAGGAAGTCGTAGCCCACCTAGGACGCAGCAGATGGGGGAAGTGGATATATCTGTCATGTATATCACTCTATCTGTCTATCTATCTATCTCTATCTATCTATCTATCTATCGATCTATCTATCCATTTATCCATCTATCCATCTAATCTATCTATCTATCTATCTATCCATCTATCTATCTATCTACCTATATGCACAATGATATATATATATATATATTAAAATGTAGATCTATATGTCTGAAATGTACAATATGTAGATCATAAATTAAGTATGTATATATATATATATAATAGATGTAGACCTAAATGTAGACATATAAAATCTGGGTGTATATATATATATACATATTTAGAGTTGTATGTGTATGTGTATAGTTCTATCTAGATCTGTTTTAAAACGACACTGGGTGAACCCTGAAATCCTTAAGATGTTCATGGGTTTGATGGGTTGCAGCTGAATTTAAGGGGTTGAATCCCTATCACCCATGGGTAAACTGGCGTTGATCAGTTTGCTCAGATATCAGTGGGCCAACTCTTTGAACTCTTTGGGGCGGTGGGAGTTCATCATCCCAACCACTTAGATGGGCCATGGGATTAGCGATTCATGGTTAGTAACTGGGGATTTGTTACCCCCTATATCCCAATGAAATAATCCCGTTACTAAGCAGGGTTGAACATCAACCATGATCGTTCAACCAACGGACGACTTTTTATAAACTTTTTCAGAGACCCTGATGGTCGCTTCTTGGTAGGGTCATGAAAGTCAGAGGGTGAGATCAGACGTACACCCACATGGTCATATTTAATCCAAGATGTTTTTTTGAACCTTTTTTGCTGTTCATTCATTGTAAATAATCGCTAAACATTGCAGACTGCTGGGGATGGTGGCAACTCACGACGCCAAGACACTTTCGGATCGAACATGGTGGCGGTGGGATCGAAACTGACAGCTTTTGGATCGAAACTGACAGCCTGCGGATCGAAACCGGCAGCCTGCGGATCGAAACCGGCAGCCTTCGGATAGAAAGTGGCAGCCTTCGGATCAAAACTCATGGCGTTTGGATCAAAGCTCACTGCGTTTGGATCAAAACTCATAGCATTGGGATCGAAGTTGGTGACAGGAACCGGCAGCTCATGGTACCTGGAGTGGCTATCCATGGGTCAAAAATGAACGATTCGCAAAGGAACTCATCTATTTGGGCAACTCTTTCAGCATAAATCTGAACGAAGTTGGGTTCGTCTTAGGGAAATTCCAACTCATCAGCAACCTGAAACAAAGATGGAAACCCTTGATGTAATAGCTCAGGTGCTGGGGATGCTTCATCAAGGGAAACTCCCCATTGGCAGCTTTCCGGCATAGGTCTTGCAACTCTTCCTGTGCTGCTTTGCAAAGGGCAAGGGAAAAAATCTGACTTCAAGGGCATGATGGGTGTACACTCTGGTAATGAAACATAGCACTAGGAATTCCTCCAACGATATTGGGTCCCCCAATTAAAACCTCAATTTATGATGCTGTTTGTTTTCCATAGGCACGTTTGACTTGATTAACGGTGGGCGCAAGTTAAATAGATACTAGGATGATAATGAATTACATAGATATCCCGTCTGTCGCACAAGAGTAGTCACCAAGATGAATCTCTGGCCATTACAAGTCACTCTATGCCATCTAGTCATTGTCTGAATAACAGGGTGCCACCAAATATCCCTATAAGGTAGTTATATAAATGGTATGTATCATTTATTATTCAAACTGCCATGGGTTGAGGGGTAAATGCCGAATTTTCAGACAGACCCATCATATTGTTTGTTGTAATATCCAATGATATGTTGCTATATATATATATATAAATATATCCCATTACAATCCCCTCTCCCTAATACTGAATACCGCAAACATTTTATCCGTTCTTGGAGCCCCTCGTCGGGGTATTTAAATGTTTGGGGATGGGATTGAGTGGATCGACTTTTTCGGTGCTTTTCCATCAATACAAAGAAACACACATCTGCTCTACGGCTGCTATATACATCGCATTGTCTATCCTTAATACATTCTCCTTGTATCCCCAATGAACTTTGGGGGTTTTGTATATTTTGGGATGCAATGAGCATATGTTGTGGGGATAAGAGACCTATTCTCGTTGTATCCTCACTATATTCCCACGGAGATCTCCTGTATGCGAAAGGTCTCTTCACCAATTGCAGAGTGGCAGCTGGCCTTGGCGCAGTGAACGTGCAGCTGGTTGAACCACATTGAACTACCCCACTGCGGATAGTTTGGAAGAAATCTGTGTGGATATGATACGATAATTTGTCTATATGTATGCCAATAATATATTTTAACGGACTGAATGTATATGTATATATATATATATATATTGATTGTAATGTTGGATGCTGATTAGTGGCTAGGTTCGGTATTGTGGCGATTTTTCCAGATAATTCTGAACCCATGTATTGTTTTTTGGGTTCACTATTGTGGCAAGAAAGTTTGGGAGACCATTTTTTTTGGAAAAAAAACAGCCTGTAATTGTAATTACTACAAGTACTACAAGTACTACAAGTACTACAAATACCACAAGTTCATCGGCAAAAAACAGTTTCAATTAGATTTCAATTGTAGCCAATTGAAATCCTTACTTAAGTGAGGATTGTTTTTCCTGGGAAGAAAATATTTGACTTTCCACTTTAAAGAGAGTCCAGCTATTGTTTAGGGGGGGGCCTCACACTAATCAGGAACCAACATTATGTTTTAATATATCGCATATCCACAAAATGCTTTGCTTTATGTCCATTCACCTTAGCAAACGAAACTATACAAAAGAAACACAAGGAGCAATTCAAGTTAACGAAATTGATTGTGGCTCGGAATTATGAAGCAGATTTATCTGGGCATGCTCTGGTTGGCAAGATGATTCCATTTAAATAAAATGCGTGAATTTTTGTAGCTGGCCCTTCAGGGATCATCATGCCTTTAAAGAACTTTCCAGGCCCGTGTCTCTGTCTTAACCTTCACCATAATCAAGCCACGCCTCGATCGGAATAAAGATTTCGGCAATGTGGTGCCCTACAATTAAACAATGCTCTGCAAATCCCATTATATAGTAGCTATTATTATGGATACATTAAACCAACTCAACCATCTTAGTTTATTCTGGGTCACAAGCTGCCGAGAGACGTTGCTGTTGAGATGTATCAGGCAAGTGCCCCACTTCGCGAAGGTTTCAAAGCAAACGGGGCAGGCGTAGAGCTTTTTGACGATCACATCGTCCACAAAACTCATGGCGACCGACGGAGTTTAGGCACGCCGGTGCGCCGGTGACGGGACGCGGCCGCCCCACTAAAGTGTGAGGGATCGGCGCGGCATATCTGAACCAAAACAATTGTGCCAAGGGTGACAAATGGTCAAGGAAACACTCAGAGGGGCGAAGGTGAAAGCTGAAGGACAAACAATACTAATCCATAATGTCCGAAAAAACAGACATGTTCATTACTGGAATGCTAGAAGCACTGAACAGCTCTCCGGCATCCAGCAAAGCCAGTTCCCTCAGTGCAACGTCATGTGCTGTCTATTTGCAATAGGGTGTCGTTTTCCTGAAGAAATTCAACTCATGTTGTGAAGTTTCAGAAGTGGAGACAGCATACGGCAAACGGCAAAATGAGTGACACACACACACACAGCTGTCCAAAATGATTCAGCCGATTTATGTAAACACTAAACACCAGTTTATAATTACAAAAGATTCAGCATATGTGCCAATTATTGTACAGAGTTTTTTTTCAACGCCCTGATTTTCAAACACTCGTTCCGTTCTATCCTGCAACAATACAATACATAAATCACATTCTCCCTCTAGTTTGTTTCCAGTTAGTCAAACCAAGTACGAACATGTGTTCAATAAATTTCCGAAGTCACAAAGTCATACAGTCATAACTTCCCAACATCCAAACATAAATCAGTGCATTCGGTTAAGGGACAACTTACAGGAATCAAGTGCTTAAAACAACTAAAAACATGATTTTATCGAGTTGCATGCTAATGTTCCGGTCATCCAAGTCCGGGGACAACATCAAATAAACAAACAAAAACCATCAAATAACTAAATAACAACAAACAAACACAAAATAAGCATCAAAAAAATCATCAAAATATATCAAAATAACATTAAGAAAAAAAAACCGTCAAAACCACCAGTATAATCCCATCAAATCAATGATGAGCTGATTTTTATGACCTAATCCCACCAGTCAGCAAATCCCAAAATCCCACGAAACCAAAAAAAGAAACAAATAAAACATCCAACATTCCAAACATTGAACAGCATAAACATAACAATAACCAACATTAAATACATTAAAACCACCATTAAAATCATTAAACAACCTAAAAACATCTAAAAATCCAAAGGATTTTTCCCAAAACGGTCCGCACCTTGGACCTGTTGCAGCGCTTCGCGGCGCTGCTGCGCCGCCCGTTCCTCACGTAGGGCCGCGGCCTGGGCTGAAGTCATGGGAATGTACCCTATGGTTATGATGATTTCCATTGATTTGCGATTTTTAATGGAACAATGATGATATTGATGCATGGTTGTAACTATAGGTTATCAATGATAATAATGATGTTAATAATGATGCTTGGTTGTAATCCATTGTTTCATGATAATAATGATGATATTGATGTAACTAGTGAATGATGCTTGGTTGATGGCTATATGACAAATTACCCTCTGGTCATTATACAAACAAAACATGGAAAGATCCACACTTTTTTTGAGAACACCAACTATCTCTATGGCCATGTTCAAGAGCTATGTTAAATTTCCAGAGGGTATATATATTCTTGATGATTTCCAATGATGGATGATGAATTATCTAATTGTTTAACGTAGCTATTGCAAAATGGCGCCTGTATAGATGGTTTGTTGATGATTCTTCTACAATCATGTCCAGGAAAAAAACGGGTTTTCATGCGATTTCAATGGTGAAACCACATATATAATTAATATTGGTATACTTTTCCCATTATAGTGCACTAGTGTCTATTGTTGACTATATACGGTTCAATGGCAATATCATCGGAATATTATAGGAATACAATGTCTATAGTTGAACTTATATTCCATATAATGCCAACATCGGATTAATCAACCCCCCCCCCACCAGGTAGGTAGGGGGGTACCTTCTGGCTAGTTTCTTGACTACCCCTTAATAATAAGAAACTCTGAACCATAAAAGATTGGATATGGCTTACGTCAATTAGATCTTAATTGAATTCTATTGGATTTGTTAAAATCTCATGGATCAGAAAGGTGGTTGATTAATCGGGGGCAAACCATGGTTATTATTAATGGGGGACATGGGCTCATGGGGGGTACCCTTTGGGAGCTATCCAAACTGATGATTTTTATAAAGATTTTAATTAGAAATCGATCATTTGGGGAATAGTCATTTTTTGAATTTTTCAATGATCAACTTAAACCTTAAGTATAACAATGATGATTAAAAAAAGGTAAAACCAAATTGGAAATAAATAGAATTGGAAATAAAAATTGTTGGATACAAAATTGATTTCAGCACTGGTGGTTTTTTAATCGGGGGGATTTATTAATCCGGGGGGACCACCTTTTTTTAAATTACATTTTTTTTGGGGGGCAGAGGAGGTTGATTAATACCGCGGGGATTATTAATCCTAACTTGGCATTAAATATGAATGTCTTATACCATATTATGGGGTACTGGAACATGATGAAGTTATCATCCAGGGGTCCCCCCGTCCCCAAGCTGCGAGGCCTTCAAGGTCTGCAGGCGTCGCTTGAGCCCCGCCGCCGCGTAGGTGCTGGCGCTGTGCATCTGAGCTTCCAGGGAGGCGATCTCATCCTGGGGATGGTGGGGTTAGATCTCCGACAGGTTCCATGATGTTCCATGAAAAATGGGGAATATGAAGGAAAATGCAAGATACCAAGATAGAGTTGGTTGATAGTTGATCGAATAACTATCAAGATGAATCTGCAGATGAACCATGTTTGGGGTTAGGAAAGCCTCTGAGATTTGGAGACCCAGGTAGGTCATGAGTCAACGGCGGTCCTCACGGTGGCCGAACTCCTTCTTGGCCAAAGCCTTCCTTGGAAATGGGGGCCCCTGTCCGTGAAACACGCGGATGTGCCCAGCATATGGTTTAACATTATATATATATTAGGTTGGAAATAAACAAAAATATGTGTACATATCCTGTTCCAAGAGAACAGCAAACCTCACAACTAATTAGTCAAAGATTGCTCACCATAAATTGTCCATCTTTGTGGGAGCACAAATTTGGATGGGCCAAATCTGCACATCACATCCCAGGTGGATAACCCTTCTGAGCAGCCCGAGATTCTTTAAGGACTCCTGCCGGGCCATTTCTAAGGCCTCTCTCCGCGCGCGGATTGCCTGCCAGGGGCGTGCAACGATTTTCGCGGTGAAATTCAGTGAAAATGCTTGATTTCGAGTTTCACATGGCTAGTTTCATTGGAAACTTCTTGGCTAGTATGTCTGGTTGGTGGTTTTAACCATCTTGAAAAATATCAGTCAATGGGAAGGAGTATCCCATAATATTCCATATATTATGGAAGATAGAAAATGTTCCAAACCACCAACCAGATGTGGTCTTCCTGTTGACCAAGTGGACTGTCTATTGCTAAATGGTCGGTTTACGGATGTTTGGAAGCCACACGTCCCCAGGTTTTGGATCGCAGCCACCCTCCGGCCTCCTGATGGCTGGTCACCGGTGCGGGGGAAGCACTGCGAGCAACACCTGGGTGGCAATTGGCAATGGCGAACAAAATGGTTGGTGATTAAGGAGCTGGAAAATGTGGGGGTTGTGTTTGAAACATAATAGGCAACTATAGGCACCATTCCAATGAAACAAGGGCTTTCAAATTCGGATATATCCAGAAAGTCGCTTAAACCTACTTGCCAAAAAAAAATCAAGTTTTGAGGTGCCCTCAACATTCAAGGGGCCCGTGAACTCCTGAAGACCCATCCTGTGGCCATTTAAAGCTTCTCGTGGCACCAAAGGAGGTTCCAACGTGTCCCCAAAAATAGACCTATATTACTTGGATCGGCTTATCAACCAACTTAAAATAGCAAACAGTAAACCCGGCCTTATCTTTCACTTAAATCTCATTAAACCATGCAAAAAACAAGATATATTTCTACATTGTTTTGTCCCAAGGCACCACGCCGAAATGTTGGAAAAACATCGCATCCGAGCGTCGGCTCGTGGTCTCCTCCTTGGGTCTCCGTGGCAAGTCACCCGTGCCACAGCGGCGCGCCACGGGCTGACCTCGAGACGAGGGAGGTGGGCAACGGCGATGGCATGCTACGGCTGTGGTCATTTTTAATGGTTGGTTTGTGAATCATCCAATAACTTAACCAAGGATGATGAAATAAGATGTATAAATGAGACTTGGCTCCTCAACCCTGCAGCAACTGCACTCTGTTATCGTTTTCTGGTTAAAACAAAATCAAATTTGGAGTGAACATGTCCAACTTAGCTTCATCTTTTGGACACCCAGCACCATCCATTTCCCAACCCCAAAAAAATCCAACAAAAATTAAGTAATATAAGTATAATTAACGATCATATATGACAAGTACACATTAATCATAGAAATGCAATGATGATGATAGTTCTTCTTATTGATCATTCCTATTATGAACCTTTCCCACCCAGCCTTCATCCACCTCCGCCCTGCCGCTGGTCGCCCCACCCGGCGGGCTCCGTATCCGGCTGGGCAGCGGCGGCCGTGCCGCGGGCGCCGTGGGCGCGGTGGCACTCGGGGTGGTGGGCGCCGGTGGTGCGGGCACCGGTGCATAAGGAGCCTCTAGCAGCTCTAGCAGCTGTCATGGAGATGATGCAGGCATTCAAACATGTTACCATCCGAGAATCAAACATGGCTGGCTGGAAAATCCCTTTTAAAATGCAGGTTTTAATGGGAACATCACGTGCAAATGGGAAAAACAATGCCATGTTTGATTACCAAAGGGTACTAGCATTGGGAAGACTACAATGGACACAAGATTCAAACTGATAAAACAACATGTTAAAAGATGGTGTAAGTTCATATGCTTGGGCTCCTAGCTCTTGAAGGTTCAAGTTGAATCTGTAAAATCATTTGGACATTGACCCCACAACATCCCATAGTCACAACCATTCCATTGGCCAATCACACCTGGGTGTTGCTCTTCTTTGGAGCTGCACCCAACAACTTGATCCTCAGCAAGGCAGCAGCCGGAGGAAAGATTCTTGGTTTAAACAACAGCTCATTGGGAACTCTGTGATGCAGAAGTCAGGAGTGCTCAAGTGGCATATACGAAATACTCTTAGTGGGTTCAGTGCTCTGTGATGTTTTGCTTGAACCACGACGACATTTGGATGGAACTTGATCAGGGACAGCAATGTGCAGGGCGATGGACCTTAATACACCAAACTTTAAGGCCAAGTCAGCACTTCAATGGGATTATAACGGGATTGTAGTTGGATTATAATGGGGCTATGATGGGATAAACAATGATAAACATACCATTCTTACAGTCTTTCCCTGACTTTCGCAAGTTGTGTTTATCTCTGTCCCCAAGTCTTCTTCCAGGGCACTGCTCCGGTGCTTCCTTCACCAACTGCTCCAACTCATCCAGCGCCAGCACCGGGTGAGCCCAGTCGATGCGCGCCTCCGAACCAAAGAGCCTGGGAGGTGGGGCAGCAATGGACTTAGCTTAGCGAAGCCAAGTGGATATGGGGGGATTGGATTAGATTTCCATAGGTTTCCTATGATTTACCCGTTTTTTCTTGCCGGGATCTACCAGTTCCAAGTGGTTAATACTGTGGCGGTTTATGATGAGAAACATGTTTGGTGGGGTTTTGCAGTGCATCCATTAGAAAGTCAATTTGGCTGGATAAATGGCAAAGGAGACCGGCTTCACCAAATGACCATCCAAACATCCGCCACTTCATCTAGAAATTACGCCCAACCCTGCACCTGACTGAAAAAAACCTTCCACCTGACCGAACAAATCAATCATCCCCAGAAGAAACACAATCCAAATATATAATAAAAGATCCAACTACCACCATCCCACTTCCTCTGTCCCCATTCCATCCATCCATCCTCCGTCTCCAAGGCTCCATGGCACCACGAAGCTGTTGATCAGCCGCAGGTCGTTCTTCCGCCAGTTCTGCGCCTCGCGGCCCTTGGCCACGAAGGAACGGAAGAGCTCCACGGCGCCTTGGGGGCGAAGGATGGGAGACGTCATCATTGCTGGGGGGGCTGAAGGGACTATACCTGAAAGCTAATTATTTATGAATGATTGATAAAGTGATTGGGAATGAAGTGGAAAACCTGACATCTGAATACATCTGATATATAATTAGCTGAAAAAAATGAGTGGGGTGAGTGGATATTGGCAATGGATTCTGAACCTTTAAGAAACCTGGAAGTTCCGATGTCCCTAAGGAAAAATTTATGTCGACGGAAAGGGTACCTTTGACAACAGCCACCGCGGTGCTGACAAGGCACGCTCTTTGTCGGGTTCCGTCTTCTCCTGCTCCACCGGTGTGGTAGGTGCCTCAGGCGGTGGCGCCGGCTGCGGCTGCTGCGGCTGCTGCTCCCGTGCCCGCGGTGCCTACAGGGTGGAGAGGAATGATGTGAGTGGCAAAGCGCCATGCTCCGGAACAACAACCGTTCTGAACAAAAACCGGCAATGAAGTATTGAGGAGAACCTCAAATCCCAGCTTTCTGTACAGTTTTGCGATTTTCCTGCCAGCAACCTCCAGTCTGAGGCAAGGAATCCACTTGTGAGAAAATGACATACATGGCCAAAGCAGCAGTTGCTAGGTGTTCAATCGTACAGCGCCAGGATTTTGCAGACGCTGCATCTATGTATGCGACGCGCAGGAGACATGTTCTCACAATACTGCAATATCAACTGTCAGGCGACAGGCTAGTCAATCCGAAACACACATATGTTCATCACAAAATTTGTGCAAGAGCTATACACGTAACCACCGGGATACAAGCGCCTCTGGCTCCGAAGATGGCTTGGAAGGTACTCTGGACACTGGCTCCTGCAAGGTTGCTGGCAAGCAAGCTGGGTGTCACTGTCCCTGAATTTCTTTTGATCTTTTTGTACATTTGCCACACGCACAGCGAGTTGGGATTGGCTGCCAATGAACATTCAACCCATGATGATTCTCCCAAGGACCATGGACGCCCCAAAACGGTTCAACATATAACATACCCAACAACCCTCTCCAAAAGAAAATCAACCAGCTCCCACATCTTCCACCTCCGGCTCAGGCTCGTGCACCACAGGCGGCCGCGCCAAACGTGCCCGTTGGCGCATGGAGCCCCACGCCTCACGGGCGTCCTGCGGCGGCTTGGAGATGCCCGGTCAGGTGTTTCACAGGAGGCTGAGGGTTCCAATAAGGAAACCAAGGACTTAAGCTGGACATGTAAACTTTGGGCTGCATCCTGCTATGAGGAAAACAGTAAAATGTCGTGCGTCCTTTAATTTCCAACCATAGAAAACAAACAATTGAGTATGTTGCAGTCCTGCAGCCGGTGAGCCAATGAGGGCTCCAAGGCTTTGACAAATTTCCGGTCCAAACCGGCACGTCGGCCCCTTAGAAGCTCACAGCTGGCAAAGTGTGAAATTTTCCGGGCACAAGTTTCACGCTGCTTGGAGGTATATATAATATATACATCACAAATCTTGAACAACTGTTCTGTTTATTTCTGATGATAGTGTATTGTATCCTGCACACACACACACACTTGAAGTTCTTCTTTTGTTTGTCTTGGCCGATCTTTTTTCTCAAGTCCTTTGTGAAGAAAGACATGTCCTGCAATCAATTCAGCCCCACCCGCAGCACCGAATCATATGGAATCATGGCGCTTGGGCCCCAAACGTGTTGCTCTCCTTGCTCTGATGTGCTGGTGGCTTGGGTGGAGGCCTCAGGAACAGCAGGGAGCGCAATGTTGGAGCTGTGGCTTCCCCTGTTCGGTTTCTGAGTGTTGCTTTAGTTATTGTCTATATAGTGTCGAATCATCACGCGCAAACAATGAACACTTCGAAAACCGATGTGATATTATCCCATTGGAGCAATCGCTGCGCCATTGGAACCGCGTTCACAAGCGCAAGGCCACACCATACTTCACACACACCTTCCTACATGTTGCCAACTCACTCTGGCTGGTACTGCAACCCTTGTCTGGGGGGCGTGCTTGCCCCAATCAGCAGTGGGTTCAGGGTTCTCCTGGCAGAAGATCAGTGGATCCGCATCCTACGAAACCCTGGCGTTGCCACAGGAAATTGTCAGGGCATGTTGGGGTCCCCATGGCAATCTTACAATGTTGAATCAGAAGGCAAACATGACATCTTTGCAAACTATGACAGCTCAAAGGATTATAACATGTTCAAACAACTGGGTCAACCATATCCATCACCTTGTTGTACAAAGGCTAATGATGCGCATGGCTTATGCTTATCCTGAGGCCCCAGGCCATATATACCACGAAGCTACCAACCATGAACCAATCCATCTGGTGGAGGCTGTCCTTCTGCTTCAAACGCCGCTCTCGCGCCAGCTTCGTGACCTCTGCTCTGTTGAGATCGTGCAAACAAATAGGGTATTGAAAGGGATCGTTCGTAAACATGCAAGCATTGCTAGGGCATGCGATGGATCGAACTCAAAGGCTTCAACGGTGCAAGAAGGTTAACGGTCAAGCCAGTTTGTGTATCTAGCAAGAGAAAAGATCAACACGGAGGCCAGAACACTCTTATTTCACTGCTTCATGCTGAGCATCGCTACCCATCAGCAACCCCTCCTTCTCCCATGTGTTCAAGCGATTCCACTTATTCCACTGTTCACTCATTGTCATGTCGTCCCTGAATATGGGAGAAGGGTAGCCCCTTCTCGCAAATGTCGCCGGATGTCAGCTCTCAACATATTGGCCTTGCAGATCAGATTTTGGCGATTATGCTCCTGGCGCAAGACCTGCAGTTCCTCTTGCACTCTAGCTTTGAGTTGCTCACTGGCACGTGAGTGCAGTTTTTGCACTTTTTGATGAATGTGTTTGGCCCTGTCCATGCCAGCTTCATCAAGGCGCTGGTAACGATTTTGATGACCTTTGAACTTAAACATCGCTTCACGCACATGCTTGTGGTTTGCCTCTGTGAGGGTCATGGCAAGGGCAGCCTGCTCCTTTTTCACAAGAAGTCCGTTCTCCAACAGCAACTCCAACGACTTTCTACAAGTTGCTAGCTCTCCACAAGCTAGTGAAGCACCACGCTCAGTGTGACGCAAATACCAACACGTATGACCCTGCCGATGCAAAAAGTCCAGCCAATGTGAGATCCCGAAGGGATTCTTTTGCAAAAGCGACAAATGCAAAGAATGCCGATGCGTACCCACAGTGATGCTTCCATCTGCATCAAAAAATCCAGCGAAATATGGCCAAGAGCATTCAAGTGCTTGTGGTGCAAATGTACTCAGTTTGAATTCTTTCAGCCTTCGGGTCACTAAAGTTCGCTCATGCAAAGGGACACGTCCAGAGGGCCGAGCTGCTGCAATCTCAAGCTGAGCCTGTTTCATTGATGCTATGCTTCCAAGCCAGCCCGCAACTTGTCTGGCATTGAGGCAGGAAACCTGCCATTTCAAACAGGCCTTGTGGCGGCCTGTTGGAGCGACAAACGGAAAATTCCCCCGCCAAGGGCTCGATGATAACGCAAAAGCACCCGTGCAGAATCAATATTCTGATCAACCTGGAGGCTCATATGCCCATTCGATTTATTTAGCGTGACGCAGCCGTCCCCATCAAAAAATCCAACCAGGTATTCCAGCTCTTCTCTTTTTGGGGGTTCAGCCGGTGGACTCACCGTTCTGACAGGAATCTGGAAAGTTTCGTTTCCAACTGTGAAGCTTTCCGGTCGCGGACATTTCACCCTCCTCTGTAGCTGCTCCAATCTGCGGCACAGCCGCTGCAATCTCTCCAGGCCACTACTGGTGACTGAGCCGCGGTAGAAAATGTTCAGACATGACCTGCTAGCAATGTGCCTTCCACCATGGCATGTGGATAGCAAACGAAACATGTCAACTCCTATTCTTGATTCACAGCTGGCTGCAGCAATTGATTATGGATGTTGGGGTGCTCTTCAGCAGGGACTTCAAGCCAAACACAGGTGTCATGCAACCGGCTCCTGCGTGAATACGATCCATGAACAAAAATCTGGTGATTTGCTGGGTCAAATGCCCAATCACATCTTGACAAGTAAGTACTGCTTGGGCTTGGTCAGCCACTTCAAAAGCGCACCAACACTTGATGACTGAAATCAAACATCCCCATCACAAGCAGAAGTAGCATAATGTCGTTAAATGAAACTGTGAGCTCAAGCAGTCCGATTTTATCCACTGCCCCTTCAGTCAGCTCTTTTCTTCCGCAGATGCAGCGCAAGTCGCAAGCACCGCTTCGCACCTCTTGAATGATGCCGAGGGATGGCACGTGCAATGGAGCAGGGCCATAAACTCAGAGGGCAACAATGAAAAAAACAATGGTTTCTGCTAGTATTGCTGTGTTATCTATTATAATTACTGTAGGTCTTATCCCTTAAATCCAAAACAAAACTGAGGACCACTCCAGCAGATCCATCCGTTTCGCAAAAGTTGTCGGCTGCATCTTCGATGCCAAACCGCGGATTTAACGGTCACGTGTCTAGCAGTGACCCTGTTCAGGTGGGTGTCACCCTGGTGAAGTGCGAAAAGTTGGCCAACTGCCAATGTCATGTGATAGGTCCCTAAACAGGCAAGAGATGGTAAGAACATGTAAAATATTGTATAAGTATATGTATAAGAACATGTATATGTATTTGAAATGGAACCCCACTCTATATAACCATTGCTGGTTATTATTGTAAGATGTTGTAAGGCCAGCTTAGATATGGGACCCTACATTCTCTGTATTTGGCCAGTGTTGGTCATTGTTGTAGGGTCAGCCATTTTGATATGTTCCGGCTTCACATCATGCAATGATAAATTTGGCGCAGCCTCACTCCACCAACCGTGGCAAAGCTAACCCTACACCGACATGGCAAAGCATGCCATCGCGGCGCGAAACACCTCAGCTGTCCTGCAAGGGCACACATTTCCTTGCCAACGCCAAAACGCAATGCAGGAAACCTGTACAGATCCTTAGATGAGACAAGAATGGGATCAGAATGGAACATGATCAGAATGGAAAAACATAAACAAATGTTGCAAATCATCGTAACAACAGAATGGAACCACTTAACCGCATAATCCAACCTGTAGCAATGGTAAATTACGACGACGACCAACATCTGAATATGTGATAGGAAAATCACACATGGGTAGATATGGAATGATACGAATACAGGTTCGTCCATTGCCAACTAGCCAGGTCAGATTCTCAACAAAGTATTGTAATGTGTATATATATATATATACGAATTATATGTATAATTGGTGGTCTATTAAATGGGAAGGGGCTGTGAGACCAATATTGATTTACCACGTTTGTTTGTCAAAATTATGCGTGATCTTGCAAATGAAGGGACGGACACAAAACTTCACATCAGATTCCTCAAACTGGTAATTATCTTGGAGTATCAAGATTACGACTAAGTGAGTTACCCCCCACTGGAACAAGCCATGTGGATCTATCTTTTGGTGATCCCAAAATCCACCTGGAGTCAAACTGAAAGCAACCACTTCGAGCAAGGTTCGGTCGCACCACTGCAGGTGGCCACCAGCCGAAAAAGGTGTAGATCGCCTGTGCCGCTGATGGCGACCAGCTGGACAAAAACAAACCCGCCAACTACCCGTGGGATCCCGTGGGCTGTGACACATGAACCAGGTCTTCCAACACGAAGTCAAGTGAATTCAATTCAACATTCCATCAAAAAATGGAACAAGTCCGTGCTTATCTCCTACTGTTGCACTTTCCAATTTCCCTCCATAAGAAACAGCTCTGCCTCCATAGGCACAAAACTCCCAGCCCCAAAACGACACTGTTGACGTCGCACCTCGGGGCTGTTGTACATCCCCATGGAGTCCACGGCCACGGCGTCCAACTGAGCCACCTTCACGCCATCTACCACCGTGAAGTGTGTGCATACATTGCCAATATCTTTTAACGATGCATAAAATGGTTGTTTAATGGGATTTAACCAACAAACATGGTGATTTTAATGGGTTTTTCTATGTAATGTGGGCAAAGCAATAATAAACCACCCATTCGGGAATGGTTCATACCACCTATCTATCGTGAGTTTGGGGATGGTTTATTAATTGTTGTTTAACCCAAATAAATTACTACAAAATAAACATAATAACAATATTCATAAGCATATACTGAAAACTCTAATTAACCATTACAAATCATTCTAAAATCCATATGAATCAACCATGATCCACCCAATTTTACACCTTCCACCCGGCCACATTTAGCGCCTCCTCGGTACTCAGCTGCCATCCCAACGCACCCGCGTTCTCCTGTGCCTGGGGCTGAACCGTTTCCATTCATGGCATCCCAGAACGAACTGGTCCCCATTCAATCAGGGAGTGTTGAACAAATAGTGAATTTATATGGATTTATATTATATAGTTTATATATGATTTATTATTTTAACAATCCATTCAAACTATATTATATATGTTTTATATTTATAGTTTATGTGGATTTATAGTTTACAATTAGTTTACATGATTTATATGTGTTCGTAGGGATTATTTAACAATACACCCATAGAAGTACCATAATAATAGTATAAAGACCAAAGCAAACTGATGGATGGAACAGGATGTGGCTGCAAACATATCCTTGACGCTTTTGTTAACTCAAGCACTGTTGATCTGCCCCTGAAAATGGGGGACACTATGCGATACCCCAAAAAAACAAACTTACAGTAGCTGTGAGGAAAATTATGATAAACCATGACAAACCATTTGATTCTGGGCAGCCTATTTTCAATCAAACCCATTTAGCATCATTTATCTCCACATCCCAACCTGCTCCAGCGTTCGCGCGCCAGGAATGGGCACTGTCCCCTTGCAAATGCACCAATTCAGTGCCACCTGGCAGGCGCACAGCAAGCGACTAAGTGATTTCAAACATAGATGCCCTCCCAAAAAAAAGAAGAGTTAATCTCCAGCAATTGCTATGTTCTTGATGATGTTGATGTTGATGTCGATGTTGTTGTTGATGATGATGACAATGATGATGACGAGGTGATGATGATGATGATGATGAGGATGTTACTCTTCCGTTTCTTGGGTTTCTTGGCGGAGCAGTATCATCAGTATCAATGAATGAGTAACATCCTCATGTATCTTGATTAACTTTGGCTATCAATGACTGAGTAACATGGTTTGAAAGTTAACTTCCTGATAGCCAGACTGGCAAATGGGAGCAAAACCATCCCATCTTTGCACTTCAAACGAGATATACTTCACAAACAACTCCTGTGACAACAGGATGCTTTACAAAAACTCAACGACCCCATGGCCCGATGAAACGCAGCATGTGAAGCTGGGCAAGTGACCTGCGCCACGGTCTTCTTATGCCGATCCGCCAGGATCTTCATCTGCTCCAAACACGCCACCGTCTGCGCTTCGCTGAGCTGCTCCGTGCAGGGTTTGCCTCCGCTGGCGCCAGGGGGGGTGGTCACCTCTGAAAATCGAAGCCGGAAGCCGTTCAATAGTTGGCAACCTATCTGGTTATTAACCATTTAATAGTTAAATAATAGGTAAACCATTTAATAGTTTTATAGATGGTTTACCATATAGGGGGTTTTAACCTGATGGTTATCATCTGGTTATGACTAACAGTTCACCATGGATATTCACCATGCTATTAATAGGTAAACCATCTGTATAAATGGGCCATCTATACCATGGCGAACTGTTAAATAACCAGAGGGTAAATCCAAAGGTAAAGTCATCTTTGGGCACCCGTTTAACCGAGATTCTTTTTCTGAAATCTTGATTAGTATTGAACAAGGAACGGCCCAGTGATTCTAAATCCGACTGTTTTACAAGTGTTTCATATTCTTCTCATAGGAACATATCTTTTCAGGGACCATTGCATCTTTTTATGCACCTTCTAACTTGCCCTTCAGACAGAGAGTGCCACATAATCACCAAGGTGCTGGTCAAACGACCGCTGGCCAGGGGCGCCCAAGCCAGGACCGTCACGTCCAATTCCTAGAGGCCAGGGCAGTGAAGTATGATCTTGCCATCTGACTCTTTTCTGGCAATATCCGGGAATGCCTCCCACTGCAACATCTTCACATTCCCGAGATTTACAGTAATTACATCGAATCTTCTCAACATATGATCAATTATAGTAACCGGCTAGCACTTAGAATATTATTTATTATTATTTTCGATAACGTCTAATCGTTACATGATTTTTCCTGGGTGAAAATAATATTCTAAGTGCATATCCACAGACGAGGCACATAGAATATAAACCTTGTAAAGATGTGCTGAGTTGATCATGAATCAAACCATCATGTTGCATGGCGATGTCCGCGCTGTTTACGGAAATATCTAATTCCCTGGGAAGAGAGCTTACATGGTCAAATGATGAACTCAGCAACGTATATAATTAATGCGTATCGGCTTCGGTTCTTATATTTATGCGTTTATGTCATTGGAACTATTAAGTGAGGAACAGTTTGAATGAGTTTGATGTATGTTCCTTATGTTCCCTGCATATTCTAAGTGCATCACAAATGTCAACAAATCCATTGTAATCTGTTGTTTTGGTAACACAGAAAAATCTAATTCTCTGGGAGGAGAGCTTACATGGTCAAACGATGAACTCAACAACATATTTAATACGTATCGGCTTTGGTTCGTATATTTATGCGTTTATGCCATTGGTGCTATCTTATGGAGACCATTTGAATGAGTTTGATGTATGTTCCTTATGTTCCCATCATATTCCAAGTGCATCACAAATGTCAACAAATCCATTGTAATCTGTTGTTTTGGTACTACGGAAATATCTAATTCCCTGGGAAGAGAGCTTACATGGTCAAATGATGAACTCAGCAACGTATATAATTAATACGTATCGGCTTCGGTTCGTATATTTATGCAATTATGTCATTGGAACTATTAAGTGAGGAACAGTTTGAATGAGTTTGATGTATGTTCCTTAAATTCCCAGCATATTCTAAGTGCATCACAAATGTCAACAAATCCATTGTAATCTGTTGTTTTGGTAATACAGAAATATCTAATTCTCTGGGAGGAGAGCTTACATGGTCTAACGATGAACTCAACAACATAATTAATACGTATCGGCTTTGGTTCGTATATTTATGCGTTTATGCCATTGGTGCTATCTTATGGAGACCATTTGAATGAGTTTGATGTGTGCTCCTTATGTTCCCATCATATTCTAAGTGCATCACAAATGTCAACAAATCCATTGTAATCTGTTGTTTTGGTACTACGGAAATATCTAATTCCCTGGGAAGAGAGCTTACATGGTCAAATGATGATCTCAGCAATGTATATAATTAATACGTATCGGCTTCGGTTCGTATATTTATGCGTTTATGCCATTAGAACTATTAAGTGAGGAACAGTTTGAATGAGTTTGATGTATGTTCCTTAAATTCCCAGCATATTCTAAGTGCATCACAAATGTCAACAAATCCATTGTAATCTGTTGTTTTGGTAATACGGAAATATCTAATTCTCTGGGAGGAGAGCTTACATGGTCTAACGATGAACTCAACAACAATAATTAATGCGTATCGGCTTCGGTTCTTATATTTATGCGTTTGTGTCATTGGAACTATTAAGTGAGGAACCGTTTGAATGAGTTTGATGCATGTTCCTTAAATTCCCAGCATATTCTAAGTGCATCACAAATGTCAACAAATGCATTGTAATCTGTTGTTTTGGTAATACAGAAATATCTAATTCTCTGGGAGGAGAGCTTACATGGTCAAATGATGATCTCAGCAACGTATATAATTAATACGTATCGGCTTCGGTTCGTATATTTATGCGTTTATGCCATTGGTGCTATCTTATGGAGACCATTTGAATGAGTTTGATGTATGTTCCTTATGTTCCCATCATATTCTAAGTGCATCACAAATGTCAACAAATCCATTGTAGTCTGTTGTTTTGGTACTACGGAAATATCTAATTCCCTGGGAAGAGAGCCTACATGGTCAAATGATGAACTCAGCAACGTATATAATTAATACGTATCGGCTTCGGTTCGTATATTTATGCGTGTATGCCATTGGTGCTATCTTATGGAGACCATTTGAATGAGTTTGATGTATGTTCCTTATGTTCCCATCATATTCTAAGTGCATCACAAATGTCAACAAATCCATTGTAATCTGTTGTTTTGGTACTACGGAAATATCTAATTTTCTGGGAAGAGAGCTTACATGGTCAAATGATGAACTCAGCAACGTATATAGTTAATACGTATCGGCTTCGGTTCTTATATTTATGCGTTTATGCCATTGGTGCTATCTTATGGAGACCATTTGAATGAGTTTGATGTATGTTCCTTATGTTCCCATGTATACATGGTCAAATGATGATCTCAGCAATGTATATAATTAATACGTATCGGCTTCGGTTCGTATATTTATGCGTTTATGCCATTAGAACTATTAAGTGAGGAACAGTTTGAATGAGTTTGATGTATGTTCCTTAAATTCCCAGCATATTCTAAGTGCATCACAAATGTCAACAAATCCATTGTAATCTGAATGAGTTTGATGTATGTTCCTTAAATTCCCAGCATATTCTAAGTGCATCACAAATGTCAACAAATCCATTGTAATCTGTTGTTTTGGTACTACGGAAATATCTAATTCCCTGGGAAGAGAGCTTACATGGTCAAATGATGATCTCAGCAACGTATATAATTAATACGTATCGGCTTCGGTTCGTATATTTGTGCGTTTATGCCATTGGTGCTATCTTATGGAGACCATTTGAATGAGTTTGATGTATGTTCCTTATGTTCCCAGCATATTTTAAGTGCATCACAAATGTCAACAAATCCATTGTAATCTGTTGTTTTGGTAATACGGAAGTATCTAATTCTCTGGGAAGAGAGCTTACATGGTCAAATGATGAACTCAGCAACGTATATAATTAATACGTATCGGCTTCGGTTCTTATATTTATGCGATTATGTCATTGGAACTATTAAGTGAGGAACCGTTTGAATGAGTTTGATGCATGTTCCTTAAATTCCCAGCATATTCTAAGTGCATCACAAATGTCAACAAATCCATTGTAATCTGTTGTTTTGGTAATACAGAAATACCTAATTCTCTAATACGTATCGGCTTCGGTTCGTATATTTATGCGTTTATGCCATTGGTGATATCTTATGGAGATCATTTGAATTAGTTTGATGTATGTTCCTTATGTTCCATCATATTTTAAGTGCATCACAAATGTCAACAAATCCATTGTAATCTGTTGTTTTGGTACTACGGAAATATCTAATTTTCTGGGAAGAGAGCTTACATGGTCAAATGATGAACTCAGCAACGTATAGAATTAATACGTATCGGCTTCGGTTCGTATATTTATGCGTTTATGCCATTGGTGCTATCTTATGGAGACCATTTGAATGAGATTTGGATAATGTAAATATATATATATATATACCCCTATATAATATATATACACACCCATATTCTATGTGGATAAATATTCTATGTGGATGACATTCCAGGAAAAGGTTTTGCTATGTATTTTCCATATTCTTAGTGGCACGTTAAAATTTTCAATATTCTATGTGCCAGCTGTTTACTATAGCGGTTTTTAAACCGCAGCTGTTCCACCTTCCAATCCCAAATATTCCTAACATTCATACAACTCAACAACCCATTCCCTATCCCTTTCCCAGCGTGCACCTTGCAAACCTTCAGAAGGCCATTGCTCTCGGGCAAACGCCGCAGCAGGGAGAACTCGATCTCATTGAAGACCAGCGGCACGCCGCGATCCTTCCTGGTTCACTGCTGGGGTCAGGGGATGGACCATGGGACCATGTACCAACATGCGGATAAGCGCCATGTTGAAGTCATGTGGATGATGATTCGTGTCATCATTCCAGACTCTAAAACGAATTTGTGATCTAAAACTAACTTGGGAAAACACGAAGGTAAAAACATCACCAGTGCTGTGAACAGAATACCCACAGCAACTATTCCCAATAATATCCAATAACGAACATGTTAATTCTCATCAAATATCCGTACATATTCCCTATGAATTCAATGGTGAATGGACAATTCTTCTGATCATATTGGAGGCCAGCGGCAGCAGCTGATGCATCTGACGCAGGGCTGGTTCGTCGTAGTTGGAGACCCCCACGTTCTTCACTAAGCCTGGCTCAGCTGCAGTGCCACTGGGGCACACAAGAGAAAACAACAGGAACATACCATCTGGTTATGACTAACAAAGCCATGGAAAATCACCATTTTTTTAAGTAAACCATCTATAAATGGGCCATTTTCCATGGCTATGTTAAATAACCAGATGGTATCAAAAACTCATGTTCCAGAAGTTTTTATTGGTGACTTCGAAATTCATGGTGGATTTTACTTGGGTCCCACGGTCCAACTTTCCCCCGAACACCTCGCTGATAGGCTGCTGCCAGCTGATCCGCCATAGCCTCCGGAGTGCCTGGCCGGGAAAATCCCTGGGATACACTGGGATAATACGGTATCACCATCACAAACAGGAATCTCACCTACATCCTGCAGCAACAGCTGGCCATTCCCCATATTCAACGCCAACAAGGCACTGCAACAAGATCTGCCACAGCTTCTTCCCCGGGCCTTTGGGATGATGAATCAGGAAACCATCCATGGCCTCCACACCGCATTTCTGGCAGGATTCTTGCCTCAATCCCAAGCCGCTCATGGTAACTGCGGAATGGCGTGAGGTAAAGAGGTGTGCTAACCATCTTGGTAGTCCAAATTTGGGCCTCTTACCCTGTGATGAAAAATCTGTTGATCAAGCATTTCGCCCAGTTTCTCATTATCATGGCATTTCACCCCTTTCGCACCCTCCTTAACGAAATGTGCTGCTGCAGCAACCAGCAACCAACCCACGCATCAACCACTGCCGAGGCGCAGGGTGGGAATCAGTTGATCCGTCTTCTGCGACAGGGCGTCGAACTTGGAAATCACCAGGGCCTTTTCGCCGCCCGGCACTTCCGAGCGCAGCTTGCCTGGCTTAGGATTGATGGATCTTTGCGGTTGTTGGTGCCTTGAAAAATCTGTGGCTCAACCAGTTGAAAACAAAAAAACGGGTTGTTTGTAAGAATTGTCTGACTTTTTCTTAAAATGACAGTTAGAAAATAAAGTACCTCTATAGATACCGCCTCTACCCTTCTGATTAAAGCCACGTGTGAAATAAAAAATGACTGCGCCCCTGCTATGAGATCCTTTCTCTGCCTGTACTTGTCCCACCCATCACTTCCATTTGCCTATGCAGTTCTCAGAGGTGTAGTAGAGCTGGGCGGTGTTCAGCAAGGTCACGCCTGACATGGAACAAACATCAAATATGGTTGGCTTCACCGTTGGAACACTGCAACAGGGGGATGTCAAAAATATATGGGTCAAAATAGGCCAACAATTGGCAAAGAAAACAACTCAAAAAAAAATGACCCAGGAGTGCATGAGAGTGTCCAATTCATACCAAAAAAGGAGTATGATGCATTGTGACTGCGTTCTGCTGTTGCCAGCAAATAGTTTCAGGATGTTTCAGGCGGCTTAATATCTTCATACTACTTCTTTGCACCCCTATTACATACGTGAGCTGTCTATCTTGTGGATACATAGCGCCCTTGATCCTTGTTGAATGCGCCAAAACGGGCCTGCGGCAAGCGACGTTTCAAAGGCCGATCTGATGTTGTTATGGTTGTACCTCAGCTCACATTGAATCAATCATCTTGCACATCTCTTGGGCAAATGAAGAAGGACTTGCTGGGAACTGTCTGGCAAAAACTATCCTCAAACCAAACTTCTTACACCCCGATGGGAATCACTAAATTTCCTACCAAGAGTGTCTTAAAACATCTTAAAACAATATTTGGATCTATTTGGTAAAAGGATGGAACAGGTCACATACCTGAACCCCCCCTCCACCCCCAAAGCCATCCTCAAAGACCCCTTCACGACAAGGCGAGCCACTTCTGTGGATCCGTGCCCCACTTGTTGGTTCCAACGCCCAAGGGCTGGAAGGACAACGTGCCGCATTTGATGGCCATGTCTGGGGTCTGCGAAAAACCCACCGAGCCGGCGGGAGATGATCAAAACTCGGCAAAAATGGCTGCGTGATATCAGCAGTGAGAAACCCTGAAATGACAAGGGAAGGGATTGTATCAAAACAGTGGTTGGGATCAGTGAACGGTAAATTTGAGGCACCTTTCCAAGTTAAATGCACCTGCGCATGGTGAAAGACTAAACGCTAGATGATTAGATGATTGGAGCGCGTGTCACTGTGAATGGTTCACCCCAAAATATACTCCAACTTGTGTTCATGGGCCCTGTAAATGTGTGGTTGGGTTACCTGGGCAATGTGAGTAAACTATCAACTATAGGAAGTGGGTTGTCGAGTCAGTTCAGGAAATCTACCCATACCGCCATCAGAAAAGACCTCCCTATCATGAATATTTCACATATCTGTTGTGAATAATTCAATGAACATCAGTGAACAACATATCCTCCAGTAGTCAAACATGGCAAATCCTCCATTGATTAAAATCAATGGAGGATTTTCCAAGCTAAAGACCTAGGATTTCCCAGCTTGCCACGTGTGATGACAGAGGGTATCCACATCTGGGCCACCCCGACGTCGATTTCTCCCAGCGTTTCTTTGGTGACATGGCCACCACCCAGGTGTGAACCCTTCTCTTGCTTCCCCTGGCTGGCTTGATCTCCCCCAATTGTTTTTTTTTTAAAGGCAAAATCTGCAGGAACACCCCGTATTTTCAGGTAAAAGCATGTAAAAACCCATGGTTTCCTGTAGATTTTTCTCGGAAATCAATCCGATTTTTGATGATTTTTGTTTATTCTGCTGCATGGGCCCTGGGAAACAGAGCACCGCCCTTAAAAATCCATTGGTCATCAATCATCATTTCTCATCATTTTCTTACTCAACTTGCTTTTGTGGCAACCCATTGGTGGACTTCGCCAATCTGCAGGGTCGCAGATCGTCCCACCTGACCCTGGCCATCCATGATGCACGCGTGCCGCAAGGTGTTCAGCGAATGCTCCGTGTCCTCCCACGGCGACACGGCCGGGCAGCTGCCATGGGACCCGTGGGATGGGTTTCGAACCCTTGGCGCAACCCGGGTTGGCCTGAAAAAATTAGAGGGGGAACCACTGAGTCCCATGGAATTGTCATCATATGGCCCTATTTTAAATGTTCTTTTGGGTATAGTATCACATTTTCAGAGCGACCCAAATGAACAATCGGTGGAAGGACTTTTGGGACAAACCAAAATTGGAAACCTGTGCAAATGCGGCTAATTGGTAATTCTGAACCTGTAAAGCCCTTGACTGCACCGAGACATGTCATGTTGCATGCTGATTATAGAGTGTGTGTTTGCCATCCCCTCTGACAATTGAGCAATGCACGTAAATTTCTGGGGAACATGACCTGGGAGAAAAGTCATGGATCTAAATTCTAATAATTAAAAAAAACAAACACTCCACATTTTCACCCACATAGTGTATTGTTCAACAACTTTTTGCTAGCTACCCAAACTTGGTCAACTTCAGTGGATGATCAAAGGCATTGTGAGCCCTGTGGGGTCGAGATTCCGATAACAGAGAAATCACACGGAAAACATGAATTGGTCAAAGGACGATTATAACAGGAAATCAAGAATCGGGCGAAACATTGTGACATCACTGAGATAAAATCACTCATGAAGTACCCTCTGGTTATTTAACATAGCTATATATATAATTATGTAGAATGGGAGATTTAATTCATTCTGCACATGATTCATGATGATTTCCCTATTAAACGGTCATTTTTCCCATAGCTATGTTAAATAACCAAAGGGTACATCATCAACATCCCAGTGATTTCCTCCGCCCCCCGCGGGCACAAAAAAAACGCCTTGCTGCTGGGCGATACCGTCGCCACCACCACCGTCTCGTGGTGCCCACCTGGCAATTTGGGCCATGGATTTTCCTTCCCAATGTGGCTATAGAATGTGATGGGGATATATTGGAGAAATCTTTGGGGGTATAAAATGTACTACATAATGTAAAAAAAACAATAGGTATCCATGGGTTATAACATAGAATATGTATGAATATGTGGGGTTGGTGGCTTCAACCCATCTGAAAAAGTATGCTAATCAGCTCCAATATATGGTCGACAATTGAAAAGAAATGAAACCACCAACCAAACAATGACTGACAAGTACACACATGTGCCTTTCAGTTTGAATGTGAATACATGTAGGAACTGTTTGACACAAGCTTGTCATCATGCGCACTCCCACTTTGATTTCCACTCGGTGCCAAGAAAGAAGTGGCTTTAGCCATGGGAATATACCTGGTATGAACAAGGGTCCTCCGTACCTTTTGGAGGTCCCAGGAAAAAGAGACGAACAAATTGTCGCATTGGACAAATCACGTTGCGCAGTGAGCAGAGGCACTGGTGATCATAGAACAATGAAGTTAAGATGTTAAGTATGTCATATTGCTTGGTTCGTTGTCCTGTCCGCACGGACCTTTGCAAAAGTGTGGCAAGCATAAGAATGAGAGTAATGAACCAGATATGGATACCCTGTCACTTTGCGCTAATGACCATTAGCATTATTGTGATGAACGGTGAAATTTGGGAAACAAAACCAACCAAACCGTTGATCATTGTGACATCTTCGGCAGTGCTATCGTGTATCATCCATGTGCCCCTCTGTTCAAGCAAACCTCGATATGGTGAAACCACGGCGCTGCAAGGAGTGGCTGCAGAAGTTCACATGTCAGTGTCACTTTGTCCTCTGGTTGAGGATGTTGAGGTGAGTTGCTAGGCTGTTTGCCTGTGATCCTTAAGGCTTGCCAAGCTTAGTCTAGTTCTAGTGGTCACCAAAGATGACAGGTATGATGTCCAACCGGAACATTTTAAAATCATGATGCGCCACTGCGAAGGACATGTTCAAGCCCTACCCCGAATACAACACCACCGCGATATTTGACAAATGGTCTTTGATGCCAACTTAGCTCCTACTTTCCCAAACCTTGCAGGGCACTGTGCAGCGAAAAATTATCCATCTCTGACTTTGTCAGGTCCTTTCATGCATCACCACAGGTAGGTGCCCCCTGTGGCTCTTATCAGCTTTGGCCTTGCGGCAAATATCTATACAGCGCTAGTTGATATTCATCTCCGGCTAACTGCTTGGCCTCAGCATGGTTCAGGGCGGTGCTGGCAGAAAAACATGCAGGTACTTCCACTGGTGTTCTCTACTGACAGCTAACATACTGCACAATCATATTTTGGATGATTTCAACTTTCAGACTCAAACAATGGCACCTTGTGCCCTCCAAAAGACGCATGGTTGAATAACACAAATCACACAACATCAAATATATCGTATTGGGTAGTATATCGTATACTGCCAAGTGGCATCTTTATGCCCTCGCATCTGGCTGAACTAGTTACACTTACCAACAAATACATGGCAGTCCCTGTTGGCATCTCACCAACGCGTCGCCCCAGCATCCCTGCCATCAGGCCACGATCTCGCCCGGCGGAAGAAAGGCACCGTCCACGGTGACGATTCGATCCCCCGCGATGATGTAATCTACGTCGTTGACCTGGTTCAGATTCCTCGGGAGGCAGCAAGGGGCTGGAAAATGGGGGGAATGGAGCTGGGCAAAAAGGGGGATGATGGGAGCGATAGTGTAAAGAATGATGTGCATTGGTATGTGGATGTCAGAAGGAAGCACACTGCAATTGGTTCCATATGGTCTATATTTCGGCCAAGAAGTGCCCAACCGGTTTCAACTAAACAGGAACTTGGAACAAATGCACCCTACGACATGGGAATACTCAGAAAGCGTCTCCAAGCCAAGTCACAGAACCGCCCCATCACGGTCTACACCTTCCAAGTTTGGATACTTGGTGCAGGCTAGGAGAAGAACAAGCGTCAAACCATCCAACTCAAGCTTGCCACAGTTTGAGATTGACATGAACCATGTTTTTTCAATCAGCTTCCCTCTTGTTACATAAACTCTCGACTCTTCTTTGGAATGGTCTCTAATACTACTGCATCATGCAACAATGTAGCTTATCATGGCATACCATAAAAAATTCCCAACAAAAGATCACAAAAGCAGATCCCCTAGGGGCTGGAATCTGATAGCCCCGCCTCGAACCAGGAGGCCCAGGTCACTTTTGCTGGCAGCAACAGCGAGGCCCAACTTGCAACCGCGACGCTTCACGTCCAGTTGCAACACCTCAAATAGGACGTTGTGAATGTGGTCCGATCTCAAATGATGATGGATAAAGGAGGATAAAGGTACTGACTGCCAGGCATACTATGTTCAATATGACCGTGTCATGGGATTATGACTACCGGATTGGGTGGGGATCTGTCAGTTGAAGTTGCTGAACACAATGGAAGCGCCTCGTAAGTTGGAAAGATTGCCATCTGTGCCGGTGGGTTTCCTAGTTGCACACCTCCAAGTCTCAAAGTACATGCCCCTGAGCCCAGAAACAGAGTAAACTCTTCGTCAAGTTGTCTTATCACGACCAACATCCATCAACTCGCCAATTTGGGGTGGATTTATCACTATCAAAACCATGCTCTGGCCCAGTGCCACAAGATTCAGCACTGAGACCCCAACGGTTGGGCGTTCAAAGGTCAGTTCCACCTCAGCTGCACAAGGGATAATTCAGGGATTCCTTCCTCATAATCCTCATAGATGTGAGACCCATTCCCATATTATAGACCTGCAGCTGCCCTGAGGATATACCCCTCTATTTGACATCCATCCACCTCTTCAGTAACTTCACCAAACTTCCACCCACCGGACCCACCTGTCACCATTCCCCAGAAATCCGTGCCCAGGCGCTGGACCCCGACACACCGAGACCATGTTCACCAACTCTTTGGAGGTGCAGTTGGTGCCGATGCCGTTGACCTTCCGGAGGCAGTCGTGCCTGCTGGCAGTTGGATGGGCAACTGTGACCTGGCTGCATGTTGGTTTCAACATTCAAAAAACATTGGTTTTGGTTAGTCAAGTTGGGCTTATATAGATGATCCCAAATTGGAGTTGGGAACAACAAAAGAACTAAAACACCCACCGAACCACTATAGTTTAGATGGATGACAAATGGAAATTTAGTTAATTATGCATTATGATGCTACTCATCATAAATCACACTATATCACACTACCCCCCCATACTGTTTCACAAAAAATGAACAGGTTCAATACGGTTGAAACATTAATATATTAATCATGAAACATACTAAACACTAAACAATAGTGAACCAAACTTTCCAATTACGGTGCCAAGCTTTAGATTGGCCATCCGATGTGTAAAACTCACCTCCCACAGCAGCTGACCCCCCCTGGCCTTTTGAGGCGCTCCCGCGGAGCTGCGTCGTTGTTCCAATCAGCCACCTGCCTCAGTTTTCCATGGCAACAAACCGGTGTTCACCAGGTGGAGGCAGGCATAGATGTATAGATTCATGTGCACAAGTTTACTCCAATGTTTTGATAACTTTACTTGTCAGTTTGCTAACCAGATCCATAAGGCAAAACAAATACAATCCTCAAATGACCTCTAAATTTCCCTTGCGATCCCTTGTGCCCACCTTCCCAGCAGCATCCGCACTAGCTGTGACCAAGGCGCCCTTCATCCTTAACTTTAGACACCAAGCAGTTCTTGGGATCCAAAATCTCGAACTCCAAACCGATCTGCTGACTCAACGAACTATCCTCAGCAGGGGCTATGGGTCATGTACAGGTTTGGGAAGAGAGGTGATGGCAATTGTCACCTTGACTTGAGGAACAATCAACTATCCACCGCTTGCATTCCGAGAGACAAAGCTCACTGTGTACACTGAACCTGCCATGAATCGCAAACAGGATGTGGAGCGCAAGTAGCTGCTGAACAGGGGATACAATTGTGTCCAATACCCCCTTCACTGTACTGTAGTGATCACACTTCCTGGCTAAGACTGCTGACTTTCTTCAAGCAAACGATACCTTCCACGATGTGACAGCTGCACCACCGCTGCACCACCGCACCTATGCTGGAAGTGCAACCGCTGATCTCCATCCCTTGCGGTGCCTTAGTGCAGGGGTAGCTGCTCGGATTTTGCGACAGAACGCTTCAAACGCAAAAATACCATGGTCGTCATGCACTACATCTTTTTCTGGTGCCTAGAAGCATGTTGACCTGAGCTTCTGAATCTTGTACGATCGAACTCCTGGTGCCTCAACGATAGGGTGGCTACCATATTCCGGACGAAAGCTATGAAGGAACGAAGTTTCTGAATTTGACTCTGGGCAGTCAGCACTGTGTGTTCCAGCTTGGCACGTTTCAAGGCAGCCTGAAGCTCATCTGCAACAACTTGGCATCTGCCTTTCGCATGCCACAACTTGGAATTGATGTTCTTGATTTCTCGTGATCTTGAGCACCCATCCTCATCCAGTCTTTCAAAATACGACTGCCTCCCCTTGCCCACGCCGAGATCTCGGCGCAAGTTCGAGTGTGTACAGTTGGGCAAACTTAAGGCATGCAGCGCAGCTGGACGCTTCCATTCGAGCCCGTGGTCCAGAAGACTCTGCAATATCACTGCGCTATTTGACGCACGGCTGGAGACCAAAACGTGTCTCCTTGAGCCACCGTACAATTTGATTGCCAAGCTCTGCGAAGGAAGCTGTCTCCAAAGAAAATCTTGTATGATCTTCAGTATTGCTGCGTCGCGCTGCCCGATTTCCAGCCGGATGTTCTTGCTGGCCCTGTCCATTGAAATGCACCCTTCAGCATCGAAGAAGCCAGCAAGGTAAGACCAAGATATTGCCTGACCGACAGGCAAGGATGGCTCTACTGTCTTCAAATAACCCAGCTTTGCATTCAGTACTTTCCTTTCCTCCCTGCAGCTGGGCCAAGATACAACAATACCAAGCTGTTCTTTCTTCACAAAGCAATGTGCACCAAGAATGAAGGCTGCTTGGCGTGCCGCTTCTCCAAAAACACGCCAAGCAAGTGTGGGGGAGGCGCTACCATATCCAGACCTCGAAAGGCCAATGCTACCCCCGTACCTGATGAGAAATTGAAGCAATGATCTGCAATTCTCGGCTGATTGTGTCATCCGCAGAAGGGTGCCAGTCAAGCAGGCCTGAGCTGAAACACACCCATCTCCATCAAAGAACCCGGCTAAATATTTCTCATCTATCGGCCCAAATCCTCCGATCAAGTCAGGATCAAGGTTTTCAAATCGAATAGGCAACTTCAACCTCCATCCGTCCACTTCCACGTGTGTTAACCTGGGCCACTTTTGCTTCTTCAGGTGCTGCTTGAGGCGCTTGGATATCACCCCCAACTTCCTTTGGTAGGCATCGTGGTCTATCTTCAGATCTCTGTGCCACTGAGCACTGCTGCTCGGCAGCAACAAATGTTGGGATTTCTGTGATGCACAACGTGAAAATGCCCGGTAGCAGATCGTGGCTCTGCGTCTTCCAAGCATCACCAGTGGATGGAGGTGCCATGGCAACATTGCAATCTCTCGCAATCTGACTCAGCTTTGGATCCAGAAGGCTAGAGGGTCAGAGGGTGTAACCTGTTTGCCCATTCTTCAGCTATTGCCACTGGTTTGGCCATCGAAAAAAAATATCTCAGGTAGCTTTGCTTTGGGCCCTGTGGGTGCCACCCTGTTCAAACTCCGGCAGGAATGGGCAGAAGCGTAGTTGTCACCACGACACTTGAAGTAACTACTGTACCATCATGGAGGGTGGAGCTAGCTTTAATATTAAACTCTAACTCTATTAATCATACAAAAATCCACTAAGGGCACCTCAAAATCAGCAGGAATAGTCACATTCCCTTCCCCACATTGAGAATATAAAGCCTCTACCCAAAGCTCACCAAACATATTAGGCAATAGGACACCTAGAAAAAATATATAACATCATATAACCGCAAACTATATGCCCATCAAGTCATCAAGTATGTTTCCCAAATTGCGCTCATTTAATATTTTTTTAAATAATACTTATACATACTTATACAGATCGACTTCTACCTTCCCTTCCCCAAGTGTCCAACAACCCCTGTCGCCACCCCCGCACTAAGTCCCTGTACTGCTGCAGGCTCCAGGGGGACGATCTCCCCCGTCTCCGCCGAGAAGGCCGTGGAGGGCATGGGGATCTCGTCCTGGTCCCACGGTGGCAGCGAGATGTCACAAGGGCTGGGGAAAGTTGGCAACAGAAAAATATCTGGAGTTTATGTTTGGAGTTTGGAAGATGTGAAAGTGGTTTGAAAGATTTGAAAATGGTTTGCTTCTTCGTGTTGTATGGATTTTTGTCCAAGAATGGGGTAAACATCAAAATAGCAAGCAATGTTGATGAGAACATTATGCTAATCCACTGAAATGCAGGGTACCCCACTGGCAAACAATCCTGTAGGATGGATGGCTGGCCGCTGATGTGCTGAAGCTTGTAGCAGCAAAGAGTTTTGCTTCAGTTCCAAACGTCTATGCTTCCCAACCCCATGGCAGGTTTGATTAATGCCTTGTCTAAATGGAACGCATGAAACAGATTCACAACCCAAGTCTCCATGAAAGGTGCTACATGAATCGTCAACCATAATCATCCCTTTTGGAAGTGGACATGTTTGGGGAGTCAAACTTGCTTTAGGCTTTTTTCAAGAGCGCGGCAATGTCCTCCTCCGGCAAAGGCATGTGCTCCGTGGGCGGCTTCCTTGGTTGCACAGGGCTTTGATTCATTGACAAGTTCAACAGCATGACATCGTTGTTAAACCGCCTTTGCTCCAACCGATGCCCAGGTACAAATAGTGCAGCCCCCGGGAGTGCAGGTCATTTGTTGTGATGGCGATGCGGCTACAGCATGCTACAGCATATCAAAGACTATAGTCTACGACGGTTTCCAGGGAAACAATGAACCGGGACTCATGATCATGATGATGATGATGGTGATGATGGTGATGATGGTGATGAAGGTGATGATGGTGATGATGGTGATGGCGATGGTGTAGTAACTTTTGCTTTTGTTGCCGTTGCTTTTGTTTCTTGTTTATCGCCATTGCCTCTGTTTCTTGTATCTCTTAGCAAATCCCCTTGCTATATGAAGACTTGCCACACTATCTTGAACTTCAATGAAAACAATTTTGATCTGTTCTTCCAAGCCCTTGGAGCCTTGGAGCATCTTACTTTTGAGCAGCCACCACCAAGGCAGATCCCACAGCAGCCTGCAGCTCCCTCCTTCCGTCCCAGATGCTGCATCTGCGTCTGAGGCATCGGTATAGGTAGCGCCTCATCCTCCCCATTTTTGCCGCGGCTGTCGCTGCAGCAGAAGCCCCTGAGCTGTGGAAAATGGATGTGGGACAACAGCTTGATGAGAATGATGTATTACCCCGTTTTAAATGATCATAATTTATCATAATTACCTGATCAATTTCGTTATAATCATGCAAGAACAGTGACGGTATGAAAAGATACTGTTTCAAATTGTTGGGTTATCCAAATTCATCAATGCCAAAATTCGAAGATGGATAATATATGAAGCAGAAATCCTTTCGTATTGCATCCAGAACTGGACCAAAACATCCACCACATCACCACAATCCTTGCCCAGTTGCACGGACCAGCTGCTGGAACAGCATTTGTCCGTCATGGCAGGGACGCTTCCGCCGTTGCAGCGAGATGTTGAGGGTTTTTTGGGGCTGGCCATGGGGATGCTGGTTGTGGGGAAATGGTGGTTGGGCATTGGGCACAGAGTTGGGTGGGGGGTAAGTGGAAATCTGTCTCTAAGATTCCATGCTATTGAGTTGTGGGGCCATGTCGTTGGCAAAACTCTGGCTTTCCTCGCTGCAGAGCAAGCCTTCCCCAAATGGGAAACCCGCAAGGCTTTTCCTTCCGCGGTTCCCTTGGGAGGCTTGAAGCTCAACAGCTGTCAATACCCTGACAAACATCAACCAACAATCGTGTAGGATGTTGTGGGCATGTAGCAAAACTAAAGGGAAACCATTGTGCATGGTGGTGGGGCAAAGCAACAGGTTTTGGAGCTGTTTCAAAACCTGGACTGCAAATTTGACCCATGGCCCATACTAATCTCTACCCGTCAAAGTCCCGTCAGTATTGAAATCACCATTTTCGGATGGCCAACATCCCTCATCAATATCCAACATCCCACATCAATATCCACAAATGCACAACCCACACATTTTTCCCTGGCCAATCATATACCCTGCACTCTTGTCCAGCTGGTGAGTATAGATTCAAAAATACCAGCATTTATGGCACATGTTATTCTAATGACATGTGACATATTGACATGTTATTTAAATACTAAAACCTTCTATATGGCAGTGTGTCAAAACCTTGTACCCCTGGTGAACATCAAAATAGCTGGTAAATGGATGTTCATTCCCCTAAAAATGGTTTTAATAGGTATTGATCCATAGCCATATTGAAGTGCTGACCCAGTTCCAAAGCATCCGGTTCCCCGCCATCGACCTGGCAGAAAGCAGCCGCGCAACAGCTGCGTCAGGCGGTTCTGTCGGAAGGCGATGAATTTGCTGTGCGAGGCGCGGGCCTTGGCTGCTGGGATGGCTCTGGAGATTTTACCACTTGGAGGATCATCTCCATGGTCCTATTATTAAATTAACTGGTTATAGTTATAATTTACCCATATACTTCTTGTAATGAGGTACCCAGATATAAATGGGATAATCCCTTAAAAGCAAGGTAAAATTGGGATCATGAATCCCACAGTAGAGGACTTGTTGATCAGGGTTAGTAACCAGCTACTAAGTGGAGTGATCCTCCAAACATCAACCAGTTGAGCTGAGGAATGGTTGGTGGATGAGGGGGGATGTGGGCGATCGGCAACTGGTACACGCTATATATAATGCAACAGCATTCACAGGGGCAATGGGGACTGGGGTGCCTATCAAAGGTCGGTTATTGCCGCTATGAAAATCTATTCAATTCAATATTAAATTGATTTGAATGGCATATGCATGGTTGCTGGTTCTCTTCATATTCGGATGAGAAACAAGATGAAGCCCACGAACCCGAATGCTCACACGTATGTTAATGGTACAGATGTCAAAACACATGGTTATGCAGTGACGCACAATACCTTTCTGCAATAGTTTATTTGAACAGTCTTGTACATGTTTCCCTTGTTACCAGTCTGCAGTGTGGAGTGGAAAGTGTAGAGTGTGGAGTGTGGAGTGTGAAGTAAGGAGTGTGGAGCGTAAAGTGTGGAGTGGGGAGTGTAGAGTGTGTAACGTGTAGAATGCGGAGTGTAAAGTGTAGAGTGTGGAGTATGGAGTGTAAAGTGTAGAGTGTGGAGTGTAGAGTGTGGAGTGTGGAGTGTAAAGTGTGGAGTGTGGAGTGAGGAGTGTAAAGTGTGGAGTGTGGAGCGTAAAGTGTAGAGTGTGGAGTCTGGAGTGGAAAGTGTAGAGTGTGGTGTGTAGAGTGTGGAGTGTGGAGTGTAAAGTGAGGAGTGTAAAGTGTCGAGTGTGGAGTGAGGAAAGTGCCACGCCTGCCACGCAAAACGACATGACAACCTGCTTGGAAACTTTCGAAAAGGAGAGATTTTGCGGCTTCCCCCATAGACACGACGACGCCACAGGAAAAACCAGAGACTCGAGACGAGACGCATGGATGCAGAAAAACAAGCATTTTGTGCGAGACTTCCTCCCATTTTGATATTTTCCACACGTTATCAAACAGCTTGGAATGTCACAAAGTGCCACGCCTGCCACGCAAAACGACATGACAACCTGCTTGGAAACTTTCGAAAAGGAGAGATTTTGCGGCTTCCCCCATAGACACGACGACGCCACAGGAAAAACCAGAGACTCGAGACGAGACGCATGGATGCAGAAAAACAAGCATTTCGTACGAGACTTCCTCCCATTTTGATATTTTCCACACGTTATCAAACAGCTTGGAATGTCACAAAGTGCCACGCCTGCCACGCAAAACGACATGACAACCTGCTTGACACATTCGAAAAGGACAGGTTTTCCAGCTTCCCCCATAGACACGGCGACGCCACAGGAAAACCAGCGACTCGAGACGAGACATGTGGATGCAGAAAAACCAGCATTTCGTACGAGACTTCCTCCAATTTTCACATTCCAACACATTATCAAACAAGTTTGGAATGTCACAAAGTGCCACGCCTGCCACGCAAAACGACATGACAACCTGCTTGGAAACATTCGAAAAGGATAGGTTTTCCAGCTTCCCCCATAGACACGGCGACGCCACAGGAAAACCAGCGACTCGAGACGAGACATGTGGATGCAGAAAAACCAGCATTTCGTACGAGACTTCCTCCAATTTTCACATTCCAACACATTATCAAACAAGTTTGGAATGTCACAAAGTGCGCCACGCCTGCAACGCAAAACGACATGACAACCTGCTTGGAAACATTCGAAAAGGATAGGTTTTCCAGCTTCCCCCATAGACACGGCGACGCCACAGGAAAACCAGCGACTCGAGACAAGACACGTGGATGCAGAAAAACCAGCATTTCGTACGAGACTTCCGGCAATTTTCACAGTTGGCAACGTGACCAAAGGACAAGTTTTGCAGCTTCCCCCATAGAGACGGCGAGGCCACGGGACAACCAGACACGCAAGACGAGACAGGTGGGAGCACCAAAACGAGCCTTTCGTGCGAGACTTCCTCCACTTTTCACACTTTGTAGCTTCAAAATCGACGTTTTCCTACGAGTTTTCCTTAGAACCTGAAAATTTGCAACCTCAAAATCGATGTTTCGTGCGAGGCTTCCGTCAATTTTCAGCACATCACAGAAAATGCCACGACTGCCACGGAATTTGCACCTTGTCGCCACTTGATGCAGCCCTGCCAATGCGATTTGCAAAAAACACGCAACACGACACGTCTAAAGTGCTGCGCCTGCCACAAAAAATGACGATGGACACGTCCAAAGTGCTGCGCCTGCCACGAAAACTGCAACACATCTTCTGAAAACGTCGCAAAAGTATTGCGCCTGCCACGCAAAACGATTTTCGACACGTTCCAGAACATGTCTGAATGTCACGAAGTGCCACGCCTGCCACGCGAAACGAAGCAACGTCTGCAAAACTTCCCATAGGCACGGCCATACGGGGATCGCGCGGACGGTTGCGGACGGTTGCGACCGTGAACGCAACGTCGAGCGAACACACCCTCAACCCCCAGACCCCCAGAGTGAAACGGGAACCCTTGCTACGCATTCGGGAAAAAGGAAACAAGATTTGGATGTTGGAGTGGAAACTGGTAATCTAACATAGCTATGGAAATCACCATGATTTATAGGTAAATCCTTGAGCAAAATGGATCTAAATGGACAATTTTCCATAGCTATATTAATTTACTGGATGGTAGCAACTGGTTCGCCCAGCAAGGTCTGTCATCCATGGCACTACAATAGCCCTGCAGTCAAGCTGCTCGAATGCATTCCTTCAACGCGGCCAAAGACGCGTTGATCTTGGCACCCTCCTTCCTGAAGGTCAAGTAACACCCACGAAAGCCTACCATGTGTCGATAAATTTCCTAGGGAAACCATTGATTTTCCACATCTATGTTACTTCACCCAAAGTTATGGTTCGTCATTCAGAATCATTGCACATTTAATGAAGTAATTGAGGTTGGTAAGCAGGCATGGCATGTGCAAAATATGAGGCCCGACCTCCCCAAGGCGCTTTGGTAGAAACAGCTGTGCGATGTTGAGTGCAGATGCATGCAGCATTTGTGTCATGCCTCCTATGATAAATCATTGATCTCTACAGGATGCCCCCGAGTTATAAGCTGGTTGATAAGCACCATTAACTATAGTTATATCTACCATAAGACATAGAGTAAAGTACTCATTTCTCTGCTTGGCCTTCCTGGAACACATATGGGAACACCCAGCTCCCCATCAGCACCTTCGCTCAGCGTTGTGCTCTGCGTTGTCCTTAGAGATGAGGCATATCACCCCGTTAGGAAAGAACCCTGCCCATGTACACCTCCAATTTCAACAAACTCTCCCAAACAATCAGTCCCAATAAATCTCTCATTATAAATCCAATCTCACATAACCACCTACCTCCCAACAATTACCATAGAGCCTTCTTTCCAGCTCAGCCTAGGTTAGACTCTGCTCTGACATATTATACAATCAAACCATGCATTTAACAAAAATAAGTGCAAACTTGGTAACACTACACCAAACAATGGTACACTATACTTAAACAATAGTATACAATCACATTAACCAATATATGATATGTATATATATGCATATATATATATATTAATTATATGTATATATATATTACCCATATATTTAATCTCCATCATCCCATCATCTCATCCCACCACCCACCCACCGACCTACAAACGTCCGTCGTCGTCACCAGGGCACGATGCGATGCTCCGAGCCCGCGAGATCCACCAGGGTGATGCAGCCCTCCACCTCGCCGCTCTCCACGAAGATGCGACAGAGACTCGGCGTGGCGGCTGGGGAGATTTTCCCTCGGGGATGGATTTTCCAGGGGAAATTGTTTGAGTAATTTCTGGGAAAAATGGAGTTGAGATGATTTGAAATGATTTCATGAATTTCATGTACTATATTTGGCTTTTGCAGATGTGGTTTATATATTTTTGGGGGATTTGGGAGGGATGCAATGCAATCATAAACTTCGACTCGAGTGCTGCAGGTGCAGTAGCGGAAACAGCTGCCAAGTCGCGCATGTGACCGCGAAGACTGGTCGTGCACACCCGTGGCCGCTGTGGCACGTAACTTTCCTCCCATGATCAGCGCAGAAGCCACCATTGAATGGATCAGAACTGCCTTCCCACTGAGGGATACAGGTTATTATTATAAAGGGACTACATTGAACGTGAGAAATTTCTTCCAAAACATGATTGTTGAGGTAGGTATAATGTATATGCAAGCTGTTCTGATAAACAACAGAAGTAACAGTTTTGAGTCCACCATCATGGTGACCCCACCACTGACCTGCCAGCTCAATGAGGGCCAACAGTTCCATGGGATTTGATACCTGCGCTGACTGGCTGATGGATCTATTCCCACCAAAAAGGGCATGATATCTTTTTGGGAGGACTGGCAGTACAGATGTTTCCTTTGTTTCTTCTTCCCACTGTTATCAGTGCGTCCTAATGCCAAAAAAACATCAAAAGCACGACATCTATACCTCCAAATCATACCAAATAATTGCTAAACACATCAAAAACACGACTTCTATACCTCCAAATCATACCAAATAATTCAACTTAGATCCATGACCTGTGAACCTTCTTCGATGTTATGGTTTTTGTCAGTAAAGTCCATATATGAAGGACTGGCACTGAGCCGCACCTCCACTTCGACACAAGGAAATGGATGGACAGAACCTCAGCTTTTGACCCCTGCAGGACTCATTGGTTGAATTTCTTCAAACAAAACATTTTGAAGAGCCACTCTAACAAAAGTAGATGAAGTCTTTCTGCGATTCTTGGGTTTTGTGGCAGGTGAGGCACAAAATCAAACCAACACCTCTCTGGAAGCATCTTTCTGAAAGCCAGAAAGAATTAACACGTTGGTATGAACGTCGGGGGGGAAAACGAAACGAGTAACTATGAGTACCCTCTGGTAAACTTAGCTATGGAAAATGGCCCATTTATAGTGAAATTTCCCATGAACAATTGAGATTTTCCATAGCTATGTTAGTTTACCAGAGGGTACATGAAAGTGACTTGGTCGTTTGTGTGGGATCATCATGATGAACAGGGACCCAGCCAACCACCAAACATCGCTCCAAGCGTCCATCTTGAGCCGTGGTGAGCTGACAAGGAGCGCCCTGATTCAACATGTCGAAGCAGTTCTCCCCGAAGAGTTCAATAAAACTCACCTGAGCTTACAAGTATATCTGAAAGCCAAAGCAGGGGTCAAACAACTATGCTGGACCTGATATGGCAAACCTGATTAATCGTCAAAGTGGTTCGTTGTTGCATAGTCGTCGTATCTGCCAGAATCTGCCAGTGCGTTCCCTGTTCCATCGGTTTTTCGCTTTTCTGCCTGAGTGACAGTCACAGTTTGCCCAGCGATACCCGAAAAAATATCGTCTGCTGCTTGTTCGTAGATGGAACCTCTGCATGGCAATAGGCGATCTGGGGTAATCAAGGATGTCAAGAGAAAGGTGAGGTCAATAGGACTATATGACTAAAGTTGTTTCTTGACATGTTTTTTTGCAGGTAGAAGCCGGCATCTTGCAATGTCAAGGTGAACTTGGCAAGTGACTGACCAACCGTTGAATTCAAACAATCAAACATCTCTCAAACAGTAATCGATACGTTCATATAGCTCACCCTGAGACAAATCTGCATCCACCAGCATTTGAACCACTTCAAGCCAGGAGTCGCATAGTGTAGGTTTTTCCACTTCCAGTCTGACCATACCTTGGTCAGTCAGCAATACACCATCCACCAACATCCCCAAAGAATTTGTTGTCCCAAATTTTGATCATGTAGGTCCTACATGATCAAAATTTGGGACAACAAATTGTGAAATAGGACCACAGGGCAATATACAGTACATATTGTGTATATATATATATACATATATTAAAAAAAAAATATATATATATATATATACCATTATCATTGTGCACCATATGTCGGTCCACATCATGCAACATATCCTTCCAAGACAAAACGTCCATCCTCCCCACTTGGGGGATCATCCCAACAACTGATCAATAGCCCTGGCGAGTCGTCATCCCTTAAATATCTGAGTGAAAACTATGGTTATTGACATTTTATCACTACATTTTACTAAATGATACTATAGATGGAATGTGGCTCAATATCCATCCACACCGTGCCACACCCCAACAATTCCAACAGGCAACAACATCTCTGATTCACATCTCAACAAGTCAAAACCTTTGGTCCCCTGGTGAACAATAGATGGGAAATGGATCTTCATCCCCCCAAACAACATGGTATAATATATAGCTTTTCATCATGCCCATCCCATCCCCCACATCCCAACCATAGCCGGGCCACATCATCACCGTCCCCTGCTTCCCCTCCAGCGCGTCCAGCACCAGCTGCCGCGCCGTGCCCTCGTAGACCTCCGCGTTGTTGGCCGACTCCCCAAAGGTGTCGTCGAAGGCGAAGTCGTGGTGGTTCATAAACCTGGAATGATGGGAAAACCCAGCTCTGATGATGGAGAGAATGATTGGAGAATGATGGGATTAAACCCATCTTGGAACAGGTACATTTCAACACCAGCAAACTTCAAATGTTCTACTTGTATGTTGTGGTTCTATCAGCACCTGGGGACCCCATCCTTGATCCACCACCAAACAGTGGTGGTTGGCGCTGGCACTTTCCGTTGGTCCCAGCAGCAATTTCACCATGTCCGGGTGCATGCGGGCATCGTGGACGACGAGTCGACCATCCAGGCAGGTGATGGCATCAAACTCTCCTGCGGGTGGCGACATGTCTGGCCTGTTGTGTCTTAAGCTTCACCATGTTTCAACCTCCCCAAGCCATAACCATAACCCTCCAAACCATTGTGGCAAAAATATGCATCTCCAAAGTGGCTGTGATGAAAATATCGCAATTGTTGTTTTCCCGATACTTTCTGAAGTAGAATGATTGCATCACCAGATGGTGGCTTTGGATGGCTTTGGGGCCGTTGGGATCCCTCATGCCATGAGATATGCAGGGTGCAGTGATGCGCCTCCAAAACAGAACCCATCAGTCAGCTGTCTCCCCAACAGGTAAACAAACACCCGTAAATGGAACATGAAGCAATTTGCAAGCCAATGATTTCCCTATTGGATATGTGCCAACATGGGGTGACATGGGCATGCGGCATCTCCTACTATATACTGTTTCACTTGAGGGGCTTTGTGCCCACAAGATTGCTTCAATCTCTTCTACAGCACGCAGTTCTCCTTGCTCAATCTCATGGCTGAAGATCGGTCTCTTGCGAACCTTAGATGGTTCAAACCAACTTCAAAAACCTCGAGTGCCCAGGCTTATCCAGAAACAACTAGAACAAAATCACTATCGCTATAGCATGCTATAGCAACTGTTCACGAAAACAGCTACCCTCTGCTAAACTAACATAGCTATAGAACATGGCCATTTATAGTGGGTTTTCCCATTAAACATGGTGATTTTCCAGTTCGTTATGTGATGAAACCGGTGGAACCACCCCGAGATTCCCACGAAAATCAGCTGCAGCCGTGCCACGCACACGCGCACGCCCCGTCCGCTGTCCGCCTCGCCCAGCCGACCGCCGTCCGGTGCTGCGAAGGGTGCGGCGCGGAAGCGCTGCGCGGCGGCCTGCGGGCTATCATTGAAGCTGATTGGTCTTGACATGTCTTGATAACTTTTCAATTTTTTCTTCTTGTTCTTCTGTGTTCTTCTGTTCTTGTGATTATTTGTGAAGTTTCTGGTTTGCTCTTGATGTTGATTCTGATGTTATTGCCATTGTTGATGATGACGACGATGACGAGGATGATTGATGTTGCTATTCCCCCAAGGCACCTCAAAAATGGCCCGATGCTCCCGTCGCGATGACCTGTCACCGCGGAATGTTTTGCAGCTGTTTCTGTTTCTGGCAAAGAACTGAAGGAGGTCAGGTTGTGAAAAAAATAACCCCACTTGGGTATACTTGGCTAAGGCCTCATCTTAGAACTTAGAACATCTAATATCATCTAATCCACTGTATCATGGCGTGCATCTCCATATGGATATGGCCTCTTATCAGCATTTCGCACCAACGGTCCGGACTCAGCATTCCCCATTGCTCATCCGGTCAGCGGGCAGAAAAAAAAGATAAATGGTGCAGGCTGACTTTCTTTGGGGCTAGGTCACCATCTTCTCGGTTTGGGACGTGGTTGACAGCAGCATAACCAAATTCATTGGGATGTTGGGAACTGGACATTTGGACTGGTCAGGGTAGTCCATATTTTGTTGTCTAACAAGAAAGTCACAGGTGGGTTGGATTGAGTCAGTGGCACAGTCTCGTCAGGATTTGCTTGGGTTGGCTCATGCATTGTTGCTGCTTGCCATCAAGCACAGATTCCTCTGTCTTGCCCTGCAAGAAGGTCACGTGACATGTTAAAGCCAAACAAATTAAGCTCTTGAAGCAGCGGAGCATAAAGTACCGTGCAAAGTCGCCTGGTGAAAGAACACTAAGTACAGCAACCCCAGGCAAACAAACATGAACATGATGATTTCTGCTTATCAAAAAAAATCATTAAATTACGGATTTTCATGTTTCAACATCTCAAACCTGTGCTTGGGGAAAATCGATTTGTATTCCTTCCCTAGCGATTAACCAAAGAAATAATTTCGAGGCACCCACACTGGCACAACACTTCCGCTGCTTCTCCCACTTTTTGTTCACCCTCTGGATTTCCAGAGTGAGCTGCAAGATGCACCAAACACCAACATCCTCCGAAGTGTAGCCAGAACTAAGTCTATTTGGAATATTGGGGCTGGTCGTTCTGATGTCTTTTGGGTATTGTTCAAATAGGATACAATCGGATGATTAAATCGGTTCATTCTCAAAATTTACAAAGTATGACTAAGTCACTTCAATCCGAAAAACACCAACAACACGTCGATAATTCGTTTTCTTTTCGCAAGAAATGACCCATAGCCGGCCACTTTCCCAAGATCTGGCGTCACGCGTCATCCTGGCGGCGTTTCAAGAGCTGGGCGTGTTGCACCTGCAGCTGGTGATATCTCAAACCCAACTCATGGAAACACGAGGCCATCAACGTCTCCTAGCGCGGCCGTTGGTATGTGAGGTATCGAAGGGGGGGATGGGGTGGCCTTCTAAGGGGGTTGGATTGATCGATGATGATGTTGATTGATGAAAGGTGGAGATGGTGAAGAAGGGACTCAATGGAGAGTTGCTGGTAGATCATGGTGGTTTTGGGGCTGTTCCCAGGTTTGGAACACATCTTGCCAACAGGAGCATGAAGCTCCCAATGCCCCCTCAACTATTTGAAGAAGCCAAAATCAACTTGCACATCTTCTCCCATCTTCTCCCATCTTCTCCCATCTTCTCCGATCTTCCAGCACCAAATGTTGTTTGTTTTGTATCAGGATCATGCCTAATGTGATGCCCGTCCCAATCAAACCAAATTGTTGAAGGCTTACATACAAAACCCACCAAACAATAAAATGAGATCACTACAGATCACCTGTACATATAAAGCCTATAAATTCAATGTTGACAGGTTTATCAACCTCATACATAGTGGGCTAAACCCATGGTTTTCTATACATTGACATCAGTAACTCACTTATCCTTTGAACCCATGGACGCTGCCACCGTAGCACGTCCTGGGCTTTGAGCGTGTCACTCTCGGCCTGGCTGCGCCAGTTGAAGACCTGAAGCTCGCGCTCGCGCAGGGCCACCTGCCGTGACACGGGCTGAAATCCACGGAAGTGGGAAAGAAAACTACCCTCTGGTAAATAAACATAGACCCTGAAAATCACCAATTGTTAGAGGAAACTAATCTTCCAACCCCTATCTGCCAGGGTCTATGTTAATTTACCAGAGGGTACTAATATATTCCCACTTGGGGATTAATTGGGAATCAATGATGATAGATATGTATATCATTGCCTGATAAGATTGTAATAATGTTTGATTAAATCAGAACAGATTATGATAATTAATGATGGTACAGATACCTATAACAATCATTATTATAACCAGCAAAACTGAAGAAAGATGCAAAATAACAAGATTTGTTTTGCTTTTCCTGGCTGGAACTCATGTTTTAGAGATAGAGTCGATGGCTGGTCACAAAGTGGAAATCACGCGGTTCAACAGTTGATCCCCGCACCTACAACGTAAAACCTTTGGTGGACCATTCGTAGAACCCCGCAAACAAAAGCAATAAAGCTCATCCACCCACTCATTACCTTCCTTTATCTCTCAAAAAATGCTCAGGACAACAATGTCCTTTTTGAAATAAAAAGTGGGGTCGACGGTCGGTTTGGAATATCATTTGTTATCATTTACATTCATTTACCTGCTCATATGGGAGACACCTCTTTTTTAAGCAACCAACCAATGGGATTTTAGGACCTATGGTATCTTAGCAGTTTGATGTTTTTTTTAAATATCATTATCCCATACATATCCCACAAAATATAATTTCCTTGTATGGTTATGAGTTCTGAGTCGAAACTGGCCCAGCTACCCTTAAAAAGCAGGTTACTAGATATTTATTCCCCAAAATCTGATAAATAATCGGTTTTGACCCATCCCCATATATAACTTGTGGATACCTTTGGACATGTTCAGGATATCTCCTTAGGGTTAACCATCTGGTTATTTAACATAGCGAACTGGAAAATCCATTATAAATGGAACTTTATGGCTGGGAAAATCATCTGTTTCTATGGGTTATTTTCCATAGCTATGTTAAATAACCAGAGTGCAACCATCAATGCCCACCTGCGACTGCAGTTCTCGGTTGGCCGCCAGCAGTTTCTCCCTCTCCTCCGTTGGCAGCTGCCCCGCCAGTGGCACCGCCAGCACCGGCGTTGGCGCCGGCGCCGCGGAGGGGGCGGCGGAAGGGGCTGCGGCGGCGGCGGCGCGGCTGGCGGACTTCTCCTTGGTTTGGCAGGTTTTCCATATAACAACTGTTGCTTAAAGAGTTGAAATCACAGATGTTTTAACTTGGATGGCTATAGATTGCTATAGATTGGGGTAACCTTTTTTCTAACGCACAAGTTGGTGGTGTTGAGTTTGTGTATGACTTTGTTGATGGATATAGGCTAAAACATGACTAAACCAATGAACCAACCAAGCTAAGGTTTATCTGGTTCAGTGGTACCTCCTCTCAAGGAATGTGTGAGGAGAAACATGTTCAAGATTCATTTGTTGACAAGAAGTCCAGTCCCATGGTTCCAAGAGCCGAAACTTAACATAGGAAAACACAAACAAATAATTTTCAGAGGCTTTCTATGCGTCCAAGTACTGTAATTATGCATCTCTCTTTTTGCCATGCTTTCATCTGCCACATGCATGTAACGATTGGAAGAAATCCCGTCATGTCAAAAAACATTTCAAAACGGGCCGGTGGTGAACCACCCAACCTGACAAGTTGCGGACATGCGTGAGCTACTGTGCCATCCAAACATTAAAATACCTCTGCATAAAAATATGGAGGTTTCCTAAAATAAGGGTACCCCCAAATCATCCAAAATTAGAGAATTTTAGTGGGGTAACCTACGGTTTTGTGGATCACCCATTTCAAAAAAAAACAAAGAGCCAAGGCCACCTGAGCCATGCATATACCCTTATCCCATCCATCACAACCAACCAACAAAGGGTACCCCCTAGAAATCATGGAGTAGCCCGTTTGCAAATGATTGATCTGTGAAACATTGTGTTTTTGCAGATTGGCTCGTTAGTTTACTGAAGGGCATCCCTCATCCCCACAATCCCCACCACCATTCTATGGAAAATTATGGACATTTTAATATGACTTTGACTAAGAACACCGTTTAAACAAAAAGGGTGATAAGCAACCCATGCTATCAAACACCGCCAACCAACAATAATGGGTCTTCCCCATCCCACCTATGGGAGATGGCATCATGTGAGGAAAAACATACTAAAAACATACCAATTTGATGGTGATTTCATCCTTTCACAATCATTTCGATGGGTCTAAGCACCATCCCCACCATCCAACCAGCATCCCACATTTTGGCTGGTTAAGTGAGATAAATCATGTCAGATCCCCATGTTTGTTGCCTAAAACCATGCTCTTAAGACACATTTTCCCTACCCCACCAGGTATCGACTATTAATCATCATTTAAATGTGCTTTTTTCCCATTTCACTTTCATTAATTTAGATGGGCTAAAAAAAAATCCCCACTATTCCCCCCCCTTTTCCCTACCCATTTAATGGTATGAATCCCATTTCACCTTCATCTATAGATGGGCTTTTAAAAAAAGTCCTCAGCATTTCCCCAAACCATCCAAGCTTCATCTATAGAATCTATGGTCTATGGCATTTAAAAAACAGCGTTTCCCTAAACCATCCAGGCTTTAAAACAAAAAATCTCCAGCATTTCCCCCCTTTTCATGCCTTTTCCCCACCAACCCCAAGGTCTTCCCCAAATCCAGGCGTCCAACTCGGCCTGCAGCAGCTTCACCTGCATCTGCGCTTGATCCCGCTGCAGGGAGACCTGCGCCACGTCGTCCCGCAGCTGCGCCAGGCGCCCGTGCAGGTGCTCCATGGTGCCGCTGCCGGCCTGGAACGAAACGGTGGGGTCCTGGGGATCCCATGGGGATCCCATGGGATGGAAAGGTGGTGAATTGCTGAGAAAATGATGGAAAATGATGGAAAACATGAAGAAAGACCTGGTGTTTTTCCGAAAAATAGGAGAAGTCGAGATGAACACATTGATGATTTGGTGATTTGAACAACATCCACTGTAGTTTTGGGGAGAAGAATAGGACAATCATCTGAAGCTTGGACTTTTTCAATGGTCAGGAGTAGGTGTCCCATCTTCAAGAATGATCCCACTAGGGGCCTGGAACTTGGCAAGTTTCGGGATAGGAATGTGGCCGAATGTGGCATGACACATAACTTACCCTTCAGTATAATCATACTGTAGGCAATGGAAAATCCATCATGTATAGATGATTTCCCCCTTGAAGCCTCCATTTGAATGGAGGTTTTCTTGTTGCCACGGCCTTTTTTTTAACCCTTGGCTCCCCACGCCCGGATCAAGAGCCTTGTTGGAAGAAGAGATCTCATCCAGCTGCTTTCGCAGTTCTTCCTTCTCTCGCTTCCACACTTGACACTCCTTCGACAAAGGTGGCAACATGTGGCAACTGTCTTGGTATGCCATGGATCCATGGATGTGCTCGGAGCTATTTGTGTAAACCAACCCACATGCAAAGGATCATGGTGACTCTACCCTACTGAAAACCTGTTCACTCCCTCCCTCACCTGCCTTTCCACCAAAAAAAACTGAATCGTTTTCTCCACCCTTCATTTTTCCCTCAGAATCTTCCCACCCCATCCGCCCTGATTACATAATCTCCTCCAGGCGTTTCTTGAAGATCTCCAGCTGCGAGTGCAACTTCTGCGCCTCCTGCGCCTGAACCTTTAGCAGCTCCAACTCTTCACGCAGCCGCTCCAGTTCCAAATCCTTCTGCCGCAGCTCACCCTGACGACCTGGGAGCTGCTGGATGGAGAGTCCAGTGGAGGTTTGGGGAAAGAACTGGTTGGATGGGTTCTGAATGGTCAAACCCAAATATATGAAGCTTTTGGTAGTTTTTTGTTGGGTTTTGCCATGGCCAAATTTGAATGAAGCAATCATTCCTGTTTCAAATCGTTGAGGCCCTCCCAAAGCCCAGTAGCTGGAGATCTCTTCGTCCAACTTCCTAAGCACAATGGCGCTGATGGGGGAGGCCTAAGGGACCTTGGACCGTCAGAAAATCCTGGCAGAGATGTGCTCAAACCAATCAGAAAAAGCCAAATTGAAAGTATTTCTTGCCGATTTCCGGCAAGCACAGATAATCTATATAGTTTGATATCCTAATTTGCCGCATTAGCCAATGACTCTCAACTACAATCTAAACACAACATCCCAATAGTCCATTTACCCTAGGTAATTAATTGACTATCATCAACTAACAATCATCACTCCACCCACTGAAATAATACTTAATTCAGGTCAACTAATTCAAGTCCACCAGTCAGTTCTTAACAATCTCCGTTCAACTAACTATAGGTTAAATCCCATTATACTTCCCATGTTTGGTTAGTGAAATCCCATTGAAACCATCATCTTTCACTGGATTCATCCAAAATCAACTGCCAGTAACATCAATAGAAAGTAAATTTTCCCCATATTTTCTCCATATTTACCCATGATTATCCCATCATTCAACAGCTATTAGTGACTCTATCCCCACAACCGTTGCGCTGTCACCGTCTTCCCCGTGGCCCGTTGCCAGGCGGCATCTCCAGCACGGCGCGCTGCTCCTCCCGCAGCCGATCTTGCGCCTCCTCGGCTACGCGCAGCTCTGCACGGGCCAGGCGCTCCTTCTCCTGGCGTCAGCGGTGGCGGCTGTAGCCCTTGGGAATGGGATAACTCCTGCAACTGGGTGGTTAAGTGGTATATGAGACATGTAAATGTTATATGAGTTATGTATAGCACTTTTTGTAAGCGATGGTGTGAACTGTTGAGGGCCATAACTGTAAGGAAAACTCAGATTTCATTGGTTTTCGTGAACCAAAATAGTATTGATTAGTTTCCAGTGTCATCAAACATGGCGGTTGCATGGAAATCCCCAAGCTAAAAGGATGTTTATAGTTTATAGCTGGAGAAATCATCCATGAATGGGGGGATTTTCCATTGCGAGGTCTGATTGCTGGAGGGTATTGATTTGTAATGCTGGTAGATGTATACAAAACTGTAGTGATGTGCATGTTCAACAAATCGAAGACTCACGGCAAGAGGATGTCTTGAACTTTGCAAAAAACAAAAAATCCATACAGCATGGCCCCAGGGCGTGACGATAACGCTTCGCTCCTGTGCTTCGACCCTCTTGTTGCGTTCCACCTCCAAATCCGAGAGTAGCTTTTGCCGCTCGTCTTCCCAGCGCTCCTGCACTGTGGAAATCGTGGCATAAGTTGGAAGAGATTTCTGGGTTTGTCTATCCCAAAAAGTTGATGGTTAATCATCATTTATCCCATTTATCCCCATTATATCCCGTTATCCCAGGGTAAATCTCCTGCAACCTGCTGGGGTCTCGCACCCAAATGACCACTTCATCCCGAAATAAATGTCCTTGAACTCTTGCAACATCATCTCAGTAAGTTTTCGATTGTAGTTCCATGTAGTTCCCTTACAAGATCAGTGAGTCAGTTATCGGTGTGACAAGCTGCAGATCTTTCCACATCCAGCATCCCATCCTCCACAGCGTGGTGCCCCCTATAGATAACTAAGTTCTTTTTGGGCTGCTGAGACTATCTCGTGCCATTGTATTCGACCAATCCATCATATCTATGAAGTTACAAACATCACTTACCATCACTTAGACATGTATAAATAATTCTGGATACATCTATAATCTATATAGTAATATAGTATAACTTATACAGTATACATTTGAGATATTTTTAAGATACATTGAGTAGATATATCCTGGATATCCTCTCCACCTCCCAACTAACGATGCACCAGCCGTCCTGATCTTCCTTCACTGCGATGTAATGCTCCTTGAGCCTCCGGAAACGCGTCTCGGCGTCCAAGCCGACTTCCAGAAAGTCTGGGAGCTCCGAAGTTCCTCCGGAGGGTGTGATCCAAAATGTGGCTGGCAAGGGGAAATCCCTCTAGAAACAACTGGGAAAATCATTGGAAGATATGAAAAACAGATGGAAAATCCATGGAAATCCCATTCTCTCTGGAAGTAAGTTTGAAGGATAAAATCAGGGTACAAATTGGGAAATTTCCGGCACGCCATGTTTGAAGGCAGGAGGGTATATATTGTTTAAATCAACATTGTTCTTCCTGACCAAGAAGGGTGGACACACATAAAAGACCCATGACCCAAATGATCTAAGTGAGTGAGATTTTGGCCAAGTCTCTCGGCGCCATACTCCCGAAGTGGCTGGAGACGCGCCCCGCATCCGGCGTGTCATGCGGGGTATCGCCAGGTTCCTCGCTGAAACGTTCCGCCAGGTGCATGATCCTGGGACAGCTGCAGGTGGAGAGTACATCCGAGCCCCAGGTGGCCGGTGAAAGTCCTGGATTGATCTCGTTGTTCCCCCGTTTGATATATGAAATACCTTTCTAGAAAACCATGGTTATCATGGTTTCTTGTTGGGAATTTCGACCTAACTATCTGATTACTATTTGGGACCATTGAATGGGGGTGTAACAAAGAGGGGGATGGGGCATGGGATTAACTTCCTGGGATTTGGAGGCCATCGCCAAGGAAAACGTTTGCTGAAGTTTGGAACAGTGCCAGGTAGTCCATAATAGTCCAGACTATTAATCCAGAGTAGTCATGATAATAAAAACCCAATAGTAATAATTAATAATAATCACCAATAATCCATAGTCATGTTTTCTGTTCTTGGCCCGGTTCTCACTTCTCATGTCTTCCCCCCGCGCAACACGGTACATCTCACCGAACATCTCACCGAGACGCTGCTGCGCGCTGCTGCTGCTCAGATCTTGACAGATCTGCACATACTTGGTGCGCTTTGGAAAATCATTGTCCAACGTTGCCCAAATCCTCAGCGCTGAAGGTCGGTTGAAAAAGGCGGCTGGGAGGTTGGGCTTAGGATGTTTACAGTGCCAGAAAATGCCAGGGGTATTGTCTCGCCATGCGGTTTTTGCAGGTGATGGTTGAAATTACTCTTGCAAGTGCTCTAGTCGATCCAGGTGATTCAATGGTGAGACGTGCCAATTTCCAGACTAACAACTAACCCAAACAAAATCTGTGTTAAGGACCTCCATTGTTGTTCAACGTCATGTAAGATTTTGTTCAAGGCGCTAGTCACTATCGGTCTCAAGTGAACATAGTGGAACCGCAATAAGCTACATGTGACACGTGTTGCTTTGTCAATTGTATTAAATGCATAAGCTCAAGACAGAACAATAGGTCATCATGAACGAAAATACAAACATTCATATTGAACCCCTTATTTCTATAGCCAAGCGTTCATTGCAAAAAAAGATTCTCCACATGTATAAGTCCACCCTCTGGAAACCAAAACATGACAATGGAACACCAGGTTGTTTGATGGCTAACATCGACACATATCGACACATAGACAACCATACACACAAAGGATCGTTTTTTTTTAATCACCAAAAGGTCAGATTGTGGATTGATTGAAATCACCCCTATTTCATCCCATGTCAGTTTGCTAAAAACCATTGATTGATAATCAAAGCTTACTACTATCATGAAGCATCAAAGACCCCACCATGTAAACCTATGTAAACCTATTATACCACAGTATGAAATTAATTACACATAGAACAACATGATAAAAGCACTTATGCAACAACTAAAAGAACGTTTCCCAGCCCACTATGCATCACCTTAAAACCATTGTATACCCAAACTGTAGAACCACTATACCAAACATTAGACATCGAACAACTATTATAAACCAAATGAATGTAATTATAGACTATTACAACTATTCTACAACCACTATACCAAACATTGTATGTATCATATTAATATAATGTATTGTAAATCAAGTGAAAACAAGTATAAGTTATTACAATTAGTAACTCGTACAAAACCACAAAACCAAACATCTCTTTCACCATTTTCAATAAGTAATGACATACGAATCAATATTTATCAACAATAAATCACAATTTGTAAGGTTTTGTATTTAATCCATAAATCAACATATATAGATCACCATAATCTATGAATAGCCTAGAAATCAACAACAAATCACAATTTTCAATATGTAATTAATAGTAACTAAAATATGAATCAATATAAATCAACAATAAATCAATATAAATCAATGAAATGTCAATATAAGTCAATATAAACCATATTAAATTACATGAAATCACCCATTGTTTAACAGGCAACTCATGGTTTTTCATCAGCCATCAGCCAAGCATCACGAGCTCCCCCAGCTGCAACGTGCTGCGAGTCTCTGCCACGCCTCTCCGGAAGCGCCGCTCCAGACCGCGCCGCAGGAGGCCCAGCGCGTCGTCGTCCGTGGCGGAGAAGTCCTATAGGGCGGGGCTGGGAATGGCTCAATGATGGCACGATTTTGATAGCTAAGATGATGAAAATTGGCATCCAATTATAACTATCAATAGATATTCACATATAATTATCATCATGGCTCAATGATTGATGATGATACAATGCTGTACATATATATATATGTGAATATGCTAAAAAAATTGGCTGATGTAATGATGTTTATAACTATAGCTAATCATAATATTATAGCTAAGATATGAACAAATAACAGCCCCCATCAATATGATGATAGCTGATAATAATATTTTTTTACCAAATCAAGAGCTATTAATGATGGATTTCTACAAGAACCAGGGTTGGAACACATACCACCAAAGTTGGGCTTTCAAATTCTCATACGTAAGATTCGGAGAGCGTTCCGTGCCATAGTTTTGTAGGGTTTCCCTTCATTCAATAAAAGCACTGGATCGGAAATGGGGGACCCCTATAGCCTATACCCTGTCAAAAATTGACATCTTACGGACCAGTCAGTCAATGGGCCCTCAAGCCTACGAGGTGCCTTTTTTGCTTACTGCAACTGGCAACATCCATGAACCATGACGCTACCTACCCTTTGGTAATTCACCATAGCTATTGAAAATGGCCCATGTATAGTTGCTTAAAGATTGTATTTCTACAGCCTTGTCAGTCTACCAGAGGGTATCTGAGAAGAGGATGTCTGGCTTCCAGTTGTTGCATTGTAACTTGGTTGCATTGGTGTGACACATCCAATAAGATTCCTCAAGCTAGCAAGCTAGCGGCAAGTAGCAGCAGTGCAAATGACAACCCGCATATCTTCAGTATTGGCAGGTGTGTGTGTCTCATAATCTCGAGATATCTCGAGTGAAACCACCTGTTTCCAAAACCTGGTCGCTGCACTCGGGCTTTGCATACCCCCTGGGCTGATAAAGATCTCAACATCAACCGTATCTTCGTATGTTTCAAATCTTCGACGTTCTCTTGACATATCTGATGGATTCACCGGTTGTGTTATGGAAACGCTCAATCATAAGGACCAACCAATTAGCCAATTCTCAAACTATGCAATCAAATATATCTCAACCATTCCATCCATATTTCAATATATTCCACATTACCAACGTGGTTTCCATCATGTTTCCATGGTTTTTCCATCATTTTCCATGTTTTTTCCATCATTTTCCATGGTTTTTTCCATGGTTTTTCCCCATGTTTTCCCAAGTTTTTGATCCCCCACCCCCCAAAATCTCCGCAGATCTCCCCCGGTCTCCTCCGGGTTGATGTCCCGCATGACCGACAGCAGGATCTCTCCATCGGCCAAGTCCCGGAGGCCGCGCACCGGGTGGGGGACCACCTGGGAGGCAAAAATGGCACCTGGTGAAGCACCGAAATTCATACAATGTGAGGCCCCCAAGATAGCTAAGTTGGTGAACATAACTCCAATAACTATGGTTTATGGTACTTATAACATCTTATAACTATAGTTACTGGGGCTTATAAAGCAACTTATAACTGGGGGGCCTCACATTGTAGAAATTTCGTGGATTTTTCCCCATGAAACATGGTGAATCTTTCCATAGTTATGTTAGTTCCAGAGGGTATCCAATCTAATCTGGTTGGTGGTCGAGCCACCTAAGAGGAAATATTCTCAAAACAATATCATGCCATGAATCTATGGACTCGCCATGACTCGACCACCAAGGCACTCCCAAGGCATTGACCCATTCCAGCAACGCAGCCTCCATGGCGCCATGGAAACGCAGCGACTGAGGACACCAAAGGGTGGCACCCGTCCCCAGGGGCTGCTAATGTTTGCAACTTATTAATGGATAATAGACATGGATATAGTATGAATGGATAATGAGAACGGATAGATGTAAATATGAATGGGTACAAGTGCATGATGTGGTGTCTAGATATGTGTGGGGTATTGATATGCATTTATGACGGCTTTCTTACATGTAACAAGGAAGGCTCAGGCAGATTCCAATAGGGACTCTGGCATGTTTTTCTTCCCTTGCCATCACTTTTTCAGTTGGGTTGTGCCCAGCGTGCTTGACTCCAGCCGTCACTCCGTTTGGTGCGTAGTTGGGTATGAGAGGCTTCAACCAGTGCAGCAGGCACAGTCTGGCTGTGTCAGCTATTTGTTTCTAAGGGTTTCTTTCACCCTGATCCGAGCAAAAGCAAGGCTGCAAGGCAAAAAAAGTGTGTTCCGAGCCCATTCACGATGAAACTGCATGAAACTACCAAGAAAATGAATCACCAGATGCCAAGAAAAGACAAGGTGAATAGAAACTTGGCGCTGAGCGTTCACTATTTAATTTGCCAACTGACCCACAAGTCAATGACCCTTCACCATTTAGCCCCCTTTCGCCGCCATTAAATCATGGACATGAACAATCCAAAAAGCACAGAAAAACCCAACCTCCATGTAGCCAACAACCCCAGGAACCTATAAATCACCATAAATCACCATAAATAACCATAAATCGTCATAAATCACCATCTAATCACCATATAAATGGTGATCAAGACCCCATAACTCGCTCACCAGCGGTCGTGGGGTTGGGTACCAATTTCTTCAGCTCCAAAGAGTCCACGTTTCTCAGCAATACATCCAGGGCCTGGGGCCGTAATGGGTCGTACACAGCAAACATTCTGTTCAGCATAAGGATTCTCAATGATTGAAGTGATGTAAGGAGGTTGCATATAGATGTATATAATTATATAGGTGGTATTGAACCCATCTCATACAACAGCTTATGGCTTGTATGAAACAGCATTAAAATCCATAGATTTCTCATCTGGAGCTTAAGAGCTTTGAGGCGTAGCCCTTGATGGACTCTAAGCTTTGCACTTTGAAGGTAGCAGCCAAATAACTGTGATGCCGATGCCTTTCAACGGCAGAGCAGCTGACTCGAATAGAAAAACATCATCGGAAAACCCATGGGAAAACCCCTGATCCATACCCATGCAGGCTTGTTTCTAGAAGTTTGGAACCCCAAAATCAGCTGATTCTTCATCATGTTTCCAAATGATAACATATAAACACATTTGGGGGTATCCACAGCTGCACCTTCGATGGGCATTCCGGGACTTGAAGACAATCCGGCCTCAGTGCGAAGCCAACAAACGGAAAGCTGGGGGATTTGTTTCTGCGATCATGATAATCATGTTTAACATTGTTTAACATTGTTTAACTACCAAATCTTACTGAGATGATGCCCTATCTACAATCTCAATCTCATGGTTGAAGCCATGCACAATGTCGAAACCCTACCATCAACTAATCTATGATAATCATTGATAATCTCCAATCTCATGATAATTTTCCTATGAAATTCGCATTCGCCACCCGCCAAGATACCCAGGATGTTCTGCTCATCAGCCAAGGCCTGCCGTTTTTCATCGGAAAAAATGACCTGGAAGGGCCCACACAACCACAAAGTTTTTCATGTTGAAATGTGATTTAAAAAATAATCAGGGAATCATCCTGCTTTCCCATGTTGAAAACGGCAATGAAAACCACCTGTCTTGGAGGTGATCTGGTTATATAAGTTGTAAGTTATGAGTTATCCCAATTCTACGCGAAACTAGAATGAACTATCATGAAATATCGAAAATGCTGCAACATAAATCACGTCCCCAGCCAACATGTCATTTCTAAGTTGAAAAGCGGCAGCAACTATCTATCCCCAGAGCCTGGCACGCTGCTGGAACACGACTATCGCACACAACCTTGCCGAGTTGAGATGGGCGAACCAACAAAACAACATCTACACTGTAACTGTGGCCATCTAGCAGAAAGATCATCAACTACCATCAACTATACCATCAACTATTACAAGAAGTAACATCAACTACCGTGAATTGCAGCATATTGCAGCACCCAGAATTCCATACAGTGCAGCTACAACGTCGAACTGTTCCAAAGTGAAACGCGGAAACTTGCTTCCCGATGGCTCCCAACAACGAAGCATGACCCATAAGATGAATTTTGGTCTTGGTGCAATTTTCAGGGTGAAACCAACAATTACAGTAATGCTTAAGAATAGCGGGGTGATGCAAATGATATTCATGTTTACTATCGCACTATTTGTGGAGCCATGGGAAAACAATGTTCTGAGCTGCTGACAAAGAGCTTTCGCATTGATGTAGCCTCACAGCCAGAGCTGGGCGTTGTTTATCAAGTACTTAGGGTGTCTTTACGTTGTGGGATATCTGTAAGCATCAAGAGGCTGGATGACACCAAGAAACTGCAGCAAACGGATGCTGAAACGTTTCCGACAACCGCTTAAGTGTGGTTCATTCTATATAATGGGTTGGTAAATCGAAGGTATCAAATAATCAAACGACAAATTCTTAACACAAAGGGAACAAGAGGTTTTTGTTCGTCCAACACCGCAGCCGCAAACCGCAATGTCTTTCAATCATGGTGCTGAGTTTGGCACCGTTGTGGCTGCCATCACAACAAAAAAGAAACCAACAAACCAACGGGAGGTGTTCTATCTTTCTTGAACACGTGTTCTATAGTTCTTCCACTTGGCGGTCTCTACTGCAACATCTGGCTGGCAGAATCTGACATGACTAGTTGGGTGTGATCATCAAACTCCCAACTCTACCACCAGCTACTGCTTTATCATGATCTTAGCAAATTTCAACCTGCTTAGTCATATGCCTTCAGTTGCAACGTCTCCATGAACATCATCCTGGCTTGAGACTTAAATAGCTTCGCCAGCTTCCAAGCTTCTGGGTCAATCCCAAAGGGTATCACCAGGTTGCTTCTGAGCTTATGTTGTGCAGTATTATTATGTTCACCCACTTGCTGAAACATTTCTCCAACCCAATGAGTACAACTGGTCTCATGATCAAAAGTAGGTAGAAATTATCATCAAAGAATGCACTCCAAAAAAATCAAATATGTTGGGATGAAACAGCATTTCACGCTGAACTTCCAAAACAACAGCCCCTGTACACCTACAACATAGAAACGTTCGGCTGTGATCAAAGTATTCTCGTTCGGCTTTCAAAATCTGCCCGAGGAGTCTGTGAAACCTGTGCCGGAATCGACCAAGGGACTGATTCAGAAGCAAGATCATACAATGATCGATCATAATATATAAACTGTATGACTAATGTATGATCGTCATACAATGACTAATATATAAAATATGATCATACAATGACTAATTCATATAATGATATATCACAATCGTTGCAAACAATGTATATAAATCAATATAATCAAATTACCCAAATTGCACCAGCATAACCCTTGGAGCACTAACATCAACAACTTATCATCCTTCACCCTTCACACGACTACAACCCTCCAGGCAAATCTCTTTTCGGCGGATGTGTTCTGCGGTTTTCTGCACAGCTTCTTCAGCTGTTCCGCCTCGGCAGGGTCGTGGAGCCAAGAAACTCCCGGTCCCGAATGTGCCAGGTGGTGTGAGACGTTTCTTTCATTTTCTTTCTCCAACTTACCGGAAAAAAACAAAACACTTGTCAAATGCATGCCAAAAACCACACCTTTGCGTTTTTTTTTGGGAGTTTGGAGATTTTTGGAGGGAACACCAACTCTAGTTTTTGGAACAACACAAATCATAAAGCATCGATTGAAGGCACCACTGGAAACCCTCCGAGGTGGACCCCAGCACATGTTCCAACAAAACACCTATATATGCCCCATGCCAAATCAGTCCAAACATCTTGGAACATACCTATACATCTCGAAAGTCAACAAGTTGTTCCACCCAAAATAACGATTTTTAGCTGAAGTTAAATCCAATGACTAGTTGACCCATTCAAAATACAGTTCCAAATGATTCTGAATAGTATATATATATTATACTATACATTATGTATTATATATATATATCATCATTCACCCACCATCACCCACCAATAAGGTCATTTTGGGACGCCACACCTGGCACCTCATGGCGTTAAGCGCTTGGGATCGCGAGGGAACCTGGGCGCAGCAATCTGGCGTTGTCATTTTTTAATGGGTTGTGATAGGTATCAATGGCTTAACAATACATAACTGGTTGGTGGTTTCAACCCCTCTGAAAAACATTAGTCAGTTGGGATGAGAAAAACCCAATATATAGAATAAAACATGTTCCAAACCACCAAACAGCTATCTCAGATAATATCATATACTATCATATCATATCTACACCAAAATATACAAAAAAAATACACCAAAAATGTGATAATATATGTCTGATTATATCTCTGTGGACGATTTGACCTGGTTGATGGATCTTAGTGGAGTAACAACAACCGATCTTCCAGAGAATCTGTGGAACAATGTGGAACCAGCACTTAGTGGCTTCAACCCCTCTGAAAAAATTGATATAGTCAGTTGGGATGATTATTCTCAATATATGGTCAAAATAAAAAATGATCCAAACCACCAACCAGTTATTTTTTCTGCTTCAATGGCATAGGTGGGCTGCGTGCTCCCGATGTACAAACTCTCGTCCTCGTCCGAGGCAAATGTCTTGAGCTTCGCAGGCAATGGAAGCTTGGCGCAGCCACGTCCTTCGATGACCTTGTGATAGGCCACGATGTCCTGTGAGGCCAACTCAACTGCTCAAATTAAGGAATAACGTGTTACATATGAACGAAAAGGTGGAAGTATTTACATAGGCTCAACCAATCATAACCATATATGTGCTTCCAACATGTTCCGACCCAGAATATCAATGGAATAGAATGGATAATTCACTTTCAACATATCCATCCCAGCCACAGCAAATGATAATCTATAACGAAGTATCGCCCTCCCCAGCTGCCATACCACATCCAACAGCCACCAAAAAAGCGTTTTCACAAAAGAACCTAGACCACATCTTCATACATCTTCTCCATTTCCCAACTCCCCTCCCTCGCCTTACACTTTCCTTCTTCCACAAAGTCATTACAGGGCCCTGGCACCGTGGGAAACCCTCGCACCCTGACCGAGTTCTCGTGCAGCCAGCGGCAGCCGTCCACCATGACGCCCATAGGGCGGACCGCCCCGGGCTCAGCCGCCAGGGCGGACCAAAACACGGGATCTGCCTGGTAAAACAAGTTGTAGAAAAGGCCCTGGCCACACTCACCTCCAACATGATAACAATGGAAACACCATTGATCTGTACCATCCAAACCTGGGAAGATCCGGGTTGAGGGGTGAAGTTTGGTTTGGTGTATTGGGCTGCTAATGAAAGATTTTGGAATCAAGATGGATGAAGCATTGCATTGAAGATATTGAAGCATCAAGCACAACAAAAAATGATTGATAAAATCACATTCTTCATGGCAAAGCCAGGTGGAAACTTCCAAATCTAGGCAGAAAAAATACCACAACACTTACCCACCAAAGGTCCGCCCTTGGAACTTCACCCAGCCACAACCCCAGGGGCCATAACCCATGGAATTCCACGCCAGGTCATCATCAAAGGTGGAGTTCAGCAGGAATCGTTGGACCGCCCTCAGCAGCGCTGCAGAGGGTCGCAAGGCGAAAAAGGCGATGGTCAATGCCTCGAATCCACCGTGCAAGGCCGAAGCTAAGAAGTAACCCTGATGAGCGCAGTTGAAGACCGCCTGGCAAGGATCCGGGATGCAGTTTTCTGAGATATATGTCATGATCTTCAAAATAGGAGGGTTTAAATTGCTTGGAATTGCTTGGATACTTGGGTGAAAGTGTAGCAGTGTAGCCCCATATCCCACCAATTTCATGGTTTAAAGTTACTACAAGAAATGCCCAAAAATCTGTGGGCTGCGGGGCCCCTTGACTTTTTGTTTTTGACTCGTGCCATTTCTGGATCAAAAACTCAATTGCGAAGAGGGACTCGGCGTTTGGCAAGGCCAAAGTGACCCGAATAATGCCCAATAAAATGTCACAATTCTCAAAACATGCTGGAAAGAGTCAACCCTTTGGCACACATGGGCAAACAGTGGCAAACCAACTCAGGAATAGAATCCAAGAATCATCTAGCAAACATAAGAAGACCATAGGAAAACAACGGCCAAACACTTCAACTCCTTGCAAAAGTCTCCCAAGACAAGCAGAAAATCATCAAACAAAACCCTTCTGCACTCCTCCAGGGGCTCAAAGGTGGGAGGATCCACAAAGACATCCTCAGTGCTGCCCCATCTATCAAAAATCATAGTGGCCTTCAAAGTTATGTTTTCCAACCAATGGAAGGTAAAAACGTGATAAGATTCATGAACAGAATAAGGGAATCGGATCCACCTTCCCCAATCCAGAACAAAGACAACAAAAACGCATCAGAAACATACAAGGCCATTCCAACGCATCAAACACATGGCCGAGCAAAATCGTCAATTGATGTCAATGGTATATACAGTATATCCACTCCGCCTTCGCACAACTGCCAAGAACAACTTTCCGAAAAAAAAGACCCCCTCCGAAACCCTCCCAGTTCCCAAAAAATTGTTCACCCAGCATCCGAATCATAAAAGATCACGGCTTCATAGTCCAAGCCCAAGGCATGGAGCTTAAAGAAATCCCGATCGACGCACCAAAATTCCTGGGCCCAGCGCGGGATGCCTGGGCCGAGCTCGGGACGAACCCAAGGCACCTCGTGGAGCCGTACCCCGGAGCGCTGCAGGGCCCACCGTTGCTGGGAGCTGATGGGAAAACGGGCCATGGCGGGCAACAGCAACACCACGTCCACCTGGTTGGGCCGTGCCCATTTTTCGAGAAGGTGGAGCATGTAGGAATCCTTCAGGGTGAGTGGGGTGATGGTTGGGGGATGGGTATTGATGTGAGGATGAAGTACTGATTGTTTAATGGTACACTTTGGAAGACTTCAAGAAACTTGGATTTTCTGCACTGCCTGGACCAAACAAAGCAGCTGATAGCACAGGGACTTGCACAAATCCCATGTGATGCCAGTAAGGACTTTGAAATGGAGCTGGCAATTCTTGTCAACAACATTCAACAACGCTTGCATAACATGAATGACTTGTGCTTGAAACACAATCATCAGGACAAACTTCAAAGAACATTAACCATACAAGCTGTTCTTCTCGGCTCGAAATGCGAACTTCAATTTTGTCTTTCACACTTGGGCATAGCATGAGCATATGGATGCATATCGATTTGTCCAAGAATAAATTGCATATAATATTAATTTCAATGGGTAACACTTGGGCATGGTTGGGGCATCATCATGCGTTTGCCCCCGGAAACAAAATGCTGAAAAAGGATGAAACTTGATGATTCAACATCTAATTTGGATTCATTTTGGGGTACCACATTTTCAACCAGACCATACCAGACCTATCCGTGACACTCCTCAAGGTGGTTCAACCACTCCGCAGGCCGTTGCAAATCATCGGCAAAGACGAAGGCGCGGGTTGCGCGCGGCCCGTCGCTGCGAAAGTCGTGGTGCTTGCACGAAGTCAGAGGATCAAAGCATGGTACCACATGGCCAGCATAGGAACACCTGGGATAAATGGAATGGGTTAAAATTGATGTTTGAAATTGTTTAATCACATATATCATTTAAACAATGTGTATGTTTATGTACAAATATATGAACTGTAAGGTGAGTAATTAAATGTGTATCTTTTCACCTATGAACTTCATATGAACTATTCAATATTGCTGTGTGATGTTCTAATATGTTGTATGGTTTTTGTAGCATCCATGTCCAGAGTTTGGTTTCGGGGACTCCATTGAATGCCTGTAGATGGTGTGGTACAGATGTACACTTAGATTTCCGTCCTGCTTTGCAACTGAAGCGAATCAATGGTGTGAAACTCCAAATACTCCAATTCCAATCCAACAATTTATACCGTTTTGATGATTTAACATAGCCATGGAAAATGGCCCAGAATGGCCCATGTATAGATTGGTTAAAAGAATGGCGATTTCCATATATATACACCCCACCAGCATCCCAACGAAAAATGTGCGCCTTGCTGGAATCTCCGCAGTCCTTTGCAGTGTCGGCTGCCCTGTGGGGATCCTCATTTCCAACGAGCCATGCGGTGGCTTCACGAAGAGGTAAAACCTGGGGCAGGTGCTGTCGCCAGACCGCAGTGAAATGATGGATCTGAGTTCTCCAAAAACATCGCCTTAAAAGGTCCTGTGATCAACGGAAATGATCCAAATGATTCCTATGTGCTACTTCCACTCATTCCAAACTGGAAGAGATGGAATTCCAGTTTGTCACCCGGAGTAGCGGGAAAAAATCACGATTTGTAGACTGGGGCTGTGGTCAGTGTTTATGTGTTCAAGGTCTTTTGGTCCAACATGATCCAACAGTTCAGGTAACATTAACCCAGCGTCTTCAAGCACCAGGCTGCAAACATATCAGTAAAAGACATGAAAGAAACACATCGATGATTCGATGAAACAAAAAGTAACGCGGCACCAGAAGTTTAGAACTCAAATAAATCTAGAATCTAAACCATCTAGATCATCCAAAATTATCCAAATCATCTAAGCTAAACATGACAAACAAAACACATCTAAATCATCTCAGGTCTGTCACAACCCGTTGCCGTCTCTTGATCATCCCACTGAGCTCATCCTCAAATGTACCCATTCGACCAATTGGACACCCGTTCAAACAAAAGTCACGTTCAAATCATCCAAAGATTCCTAAAACTGTCAAATGAGGAGCCAATCTGTTTGCTGGCAGATCCTTACATACGACTGCTTCCGGATAGCAAACTGTCAAATATCAGTGCACCCTGTATCCCCCGTTTTTTTGCCACATCTCTGCCAAAAAAACTGCTTCCTAGCGGATCCCAGCGGACCCCAGCAAGAAACAACTCATCCTTCACCAGCTCGTCCGTCAACGCTCCATCGGCATCCAGGATGGGTGACAAACACCACTGAGGCCGACCGCACCACTTCAAGCAGTAGCCCATATCCTGTAGGAAAGGCCCCATGGACAGCTTGGAATGGATGGTTTTGAAGTGAAAAATGATAGGAAACCATCGCTGTTTAGTGTTGTTTAACCCCAAAAAAAGGGAATTCCGATGAATTTTACCTTCAACATCTTTAACCATCCTTAAACCAAGTCTGGGAAGCACGTGGTCAACAAGAGCAGCATTTGGAGTCACAAACAATGACGCATGCACATGACTAAAAACCAATCACAAACATGAAATCAGCTACATATCATATCGTTACATTGTACCCTTTGGCCATTTATCATAGCTATGTTGAAACATCACCATTTTTAATAGGTGGATCAGCGCACAAAATGGGCGATGTTTTCTCATTTTGCAAAGCCAATTATGTTAAATTACGGGGCGGTAATTCCCATTGCTATCCCCATGTTTGTTGGTTGAAATCTCCATTAAATGCACATTCAATGATGATAAAGACCCGTTAAGTTCCATGAATGCGGGAGAAACAAATAAATCACACATGTGGGAATGGCTTATACTATTTTATACCACCTATAAAAATGGTGATGACTGGGGGGTGGTTTTGATTAAATTCATTATGTTTATGGCACTGTTTTACCCACATGAAATCCTATCATCAACCTTTCAGCCATCCAAACTTTTCCTGCTTGGTGGTATACCTACCCCTCCGAAATATATATATATATGGAAACATAATCCAAATGTTCCAAACCACCAACCAGTTTCATGACATCAACCCTCCAAAAACATCCACAAACCTCAGCCCAGGTTCCAGGTCTCCACCATCGTAGATCTGAACCCCGAAACATCCTCGACCGAGCTCTGGTGGGTTTAACCGAAAAAAACTACGCATGGTGGGCCGCATGGATCAGCATCGCCATGTGAGCGATTGTGAAAACCCTAGGTTCACGGAAAGGACATCCACAAATTTGGGAAGGTCCCATCGCTTACCACGCGTTTGTACAATAATGATATATGGTAAACTTGGGGGGTATCGCTTGCAGGAAACTGCTGCATTTATATATATATATATTATATATATATATATTTGTGATGAACTATGAATAATATGTCTAATATGTGATATTTGGGTATCGCTAATGTGGATATTAGAGAAATATGATGACATAACCTTGAAAAGGGGTATCGCTAATTTGGGAAGGTCCCATCGCTTACTCGTGTTTTTAACAATTTCCATCAATTTCCATAAACCAATGTCCGTCGAATACATATTTAGTATTGCCGGGGTTTTTACGGTTGCTCATGTATGTTCGATGATGGTATAACTGGTTCGTGGTTGACCTACCCCTCTGAAAAATATGAGTTCGTCAGTTGGGATGATGACATTCCCAATAAATGGAAAACTGTTCCAAACCACCAACCAAATAAGGGATGGAAAGTCAACATAAGTCAACAAGAATCAAACCACCAACACCCATCATGCTATTTTGAGACGCACCATAGATTGATAGGTGGTGCGTTTCAAAAAAACAACACCCAACCATGACACCATCATCTCATACGCTGAAACTCTCCCCCAAACAAGGAAACTCAAGTTCCCCCCCCATTTTGCTCTCCACATTGTCAGTTCGTCGCCTGGATGTCTGGCACACCAATGTGCGGATTGCTGCACTCGTTCCATGATGGCCATGTCCTCCGGCGGATTCGTTGGGGCGCTGAACATCCGCGTCCGGCAGCGCAGCTGCGGCGCATGTTGGAAGACCGACAGCACCGTGCTGTCCTCCACCGGGAGGCCCAGGGAACCAACGGCCAGGGCCAAGGACCGCCAGGACCCCCAGGACCCCCAGGGCGCCGTCCACATGGTTAAACCAAGGCCATGGGATCAACCTTTGGATCTGGTGGCCAAAGTGCAGGAAATCTCGTGTGAGTATCATGTGTCATGATGATCATGATCTTTGGCTAAGTTGAGTTATGAATCTCAAACTGGGGTGCATATGGGTCGGACAGGAACACTATTGTATACTATTGTGATAATTAGCATGGATCTATAGGACCTATAGGACAAACACAGTGTGTGACTTCGGTGGCATCATGCGCCCAAGTCTTCAGGACTTGTCTGTTAAAGCATCTTAAAGCGGCTCAAGTACAATTTCTGAGCAAAAACATTCCCGGCACCATTATTCACAAGGCAACTGACGAGTGAGCAAATCGGCAAACTGTCTCACGCTTGTTTGGTGTTGCACAACGCTTTCCACCAAAACCAAAGTCACCCTGCAAAACAGTGCCAACCGCAGATTGAACTCAAGAAAGTGAAAGATGCCAAACGTGGGCACAAGCACATGTGACTTCAACACCATCGAGGTCAAAAGTTGTGCTGCAAAGGCAACTATAAGTGACACCCAGCTTTCTACAGCTGCTCTGAGGTCATCTGAGGTCCGAACATGGATGTTTTTCGGATGTTGTTCAGGTTCAAGAACAACCTGGCCCCAAATCCAAACCGAAAAATGCGTTCGGATCAAACATGGCAAGCCCAAATTGATGCCATGGCATTTTAACATGTTGACAGTATCGATGCACGGCATTTACCAACACCAGCAACATGTGCAGCTTCCATGCCGGGCTGACATCACAACACGTTCCATGCCAATACCGGCGCCGGCATGCGGATAGGAGCCGTACTTGAAGGCATCAATGTAGGACCTCCCCATCAGGCCAGTGCTGGAAACAGCATGGCCGTTGGCCGCAGACTTAACTGCCCCTTTCACCAGAAATTATGATTAAGTATGGATGTTTTGTTGATTCATCAGCACCACGTCTGTTGAGAAAAAGTGAGCCCAAAACTGCAATCACATCATTCAGTACTTCCATCAACTGCTACCAAGACATCAACTGCCACCAAGCTGCTGGATGGATGCGGGTGGAACCTATGGAAACGTCGGAAGTGTCAATGAAGGGGTCATCTGAAATCATCTGAAAACATCTGATGCTGGAAACATGTCACAACATATCATTGGGTGGAAGAAATCCTGCACCATCTTGGATTGTTGAAACCCTATGAATAATGGGATGTTTACCACCTATCAACTGGTGCAGGATTTCGCATCCATCCACAGTATCATTGGGTGGAAAATGGTAGTTGCAGCTAGGACATTTTCCACTGAATTGATCGAGTGTGAATCCTTGCAGAGGGTCAAATGATACATAGCGAGCAGGCTGAAAATAGTTTCAGATATTGATGGTCCACCAGAAATCTGGCTTAGCAATTCAAATTCCTTTCCCAACATTTTCCCAACCTGTATTTTTTCAGCAGCAACTCGGTCACGCTGGGGAGGCAGATACCAGCACGGTGTTGGTGAAGCAGTGTGAAGTTCTGTGCATATTACCCCTTGGCTTTCATATTCCTTTTTGGAATCTGTAGGTGCTAACATGATGCCCTCAAAAGGAGATCTAGAACGCAGTCCAGAAAGCCTTTCTAAAGATAATCCCATCCAAATACACCGGTTTCTCATGTATGATCTACTAAAAAGAACCGCGTTACCGTCCAGAAATCCCATCAAAAAAACACATATCAAAACTTATCATGTTTTAACCATTCATATCCAAACAAACATCAACAAAAAACATCAAACAAAAACTGCCAGTAACTAACAATCCTGAATCGCCCATTGTGTTGAACCAACTGAGGCTCCGCACGCCCCAGGCTTTGGCCTTTTCAGTGAGCATCTGTGGGTCGTGGATTCGCTGCGCCTCGATCAATCCGATCAATCCACCCAGGGCTGGGGTAAGGAATTTCGTGAACCCTAATTTTAGCGAATATTCTGAGGGTGGACCCTCAATAAGCGTTTTGACTACATGAAAGCTCAAAATGGAAGGTTTTTGCGCTTAATTTTCGATGATTCTAAGTTGAAAACGCATATTGAGCAAGTGGCTTTCCCGGTGGTATGTGCAGGACCTTGCCCGGACATTCAACCCGCAAACATTGTCAGATCTTGCCATTCCTGAGCTTAAGGTTTATTCAATTTTCTGATAATGTTTGCGCTATATGCGTTTTGAGTGCTTGGAGAGTGAAAAACAACATTTGCTGTTTTCCTTTTTGACAAATTAGACTGTAAATTTGCATATCGCCTGTTTGGAAGTGACGGAACCACAAAAATATTCACTTTCCTATATGCCAATCTGCGTTGATATAGTCATTTAAGTTTTATTTTTGTTGCAATGGAATCTCATTATAGCATGCTTCTCGGCTGGATGATCCTGAGCATCTTATCCGCTGGATGATCCTGAGCAGCATTCTCACAACTAAATGTTATTATCATTATCCCGGAAAGTCAAACGAACAAACGCTTCATGAAGAAACAACATATTCATGTTGGCATGCGGGCACCAATAACGAACAAACAAGTCTGAGGACAACCGCCCCAATCTTTCAAAGCCAAACGGTTTGAAGCGTTGCCGCTCTCAAATTTTGAAAAAAACGGTCCCTATAGTAAAATTCTGATGTTATCCTCCGAAAACTTTGGTGATATGATATCATGTGACATCCTGATGAGAAACTATATGCTGATCCTCTGGGCTGGTATCAGAAAATCCTGATGATATCCCCAGAGTTTATGGCTGGTAACGTGCTAAATTTCTGCTGAAATTTTGATGAGTCCATTCTGATGATATCCTTAGACAGGTCCGATAGTCCTCACAAACTTCTGATGATAATTCCGATGATATCCTTAGAAAGGTTATGATGAGATGCTGGTGATATCCGCAGAAAACAGTCGCAATTTGCGCTGAAAATATCAGCTACAAAATATCCTCGGACTTTGTAGCTGATGTGTTGCAACAAAAACTGATCCTTGATTAGCATAATTTCATATATATATATATATATATATCAGAACTTTTTGATGGTTACCAAACAAACAATTCTGGAGATTCCTCCAAATTTACTGAGGAACCCTCAAAATTTTCGGAGGAGCCTTCAGATTTTCCTGAGGAAATCATCAGCTTTTTTTGAGGATCCTCATCCTCAGACTCTTTGAAGATCCTCAGAATTTTCTGAGGATCCTCATCCTCAGAATTTTCTGAGGAACCTCAGAATTTTCTGAGGATCGTCATCCTCAGAATTTTCTGAAGATCCTTATGCTGAGAATTTTCTGAGGGTCCTCATCCTCAGAATTTTCTGAGGATCGTCATCCTCAGAATTTTCTGAGGATCCTCAGAATTTTCTGAGGATCGTCATCCTCAGAATTTTCTGAGGATCCTCAGAATTTTCTGAGGATCCTCAGAATTTTCACTCGATAAGCGTTTTTTTGTTTGAAAATAAGCGTTTTTTTGGCACATTTTCATGAAAAAAAACGCTTATTGAGCGAAAATTCTGCGGATCCTCGGAAAATTCTGAGGATGACGATCCTCAGAAAATTCTGAGGATCCTCAGAAAATTCTGAGGATGACGATCCTCAGAAAATTCTGAGGATCCTCAGAAAATTCTGAGGATGACGATCCTCAGAAAATTCTGAGGATGACGATTCTCAGAAAATTCTGAGGATCCTCAGAAAATTCTGGGGATGACGACCCTCAGAAAATTCTGAGGATGACGATCCTCAGAAAATTCTGAGGATCCTCAGAAAATTCTGAGGATGACGATCCTCAGAAAATTCTGAGGATCCTCAGAAAATTCTGAGGATGACGATCCTGAGAAAATTCTGAGGATCCTCAGAAAATTCTGAGGATGACGATCCTCAGAAAATTCTGAGGATGAGGACCCTCAGAAAATTCTCAGCATAAGGATCTTCAGAAAATTCTGAGGATGACGATCCTCAGAAAATTCTGAGGGTCCTCAGAAATTTCTGAGGATGACGATCCTCAGAAAATTCTGAGGATTCTTTAGATTTTTTTTGACAATCACCAGAAATTTCGGTTAATGACAATTCCAATAATCATTGGATATATCCGGTGTTCGTCAGCACGACGATCGTTGCAAAAAAAAATCTCCAAGAGCAAAGTCAAGCACGAAGCACGGCCCTATTGTGTACACAGACAACACGCAGTGTGTTTTACTTGTTTTGTTGTTTTTCCCTGACCATCAAAGCTATATTTATTTTAAAATAGACCAAAGCATGATGATAATCATCAAATGTATTTGATATTCAATCACCAGATATATCCAGAGATTGTCAGAATGATGAACCTTGGCAAATCTGATTCTCAAAGGAGAAACAAACACAAAGCATGCCGTTATTTTGTATACATACAGCACGCGCTGTTTGACTTCATGTGTTTGCCTCTTTTTCCGTGCTCAAAATTACCTGATGCATGTCGCGAAAATGATATCCTGATAAACTCCTCATGATATCCTTCAAACGTTCTGATGATCATCTGTAAATCCTGATATTCTCGGAAATGGTTCATGATATCCTCAGATAAATCTGATGACCCTCAGAAATTTCTGAATGTATCCCCCAGAGGTCTGCTGACATCCTAGAATCCTAGAACATACTAGATGCTTTATGATGATACCGTCAGAGAATTATTTCTCAGAAAATTCTGATCCTCAGAGATTGTTTTATCCTTCGGAAACTGTGATGGTATCCGCAAAAACGAAATTTCCATCAGATTCCAAAAGTGACATCCTCCAAAATGCCCCATTTTATCTTTTGAACATGTTGCCATGTTGTTCATTTTCCTTTAAACAGTTTTATCATGTACATCCAAAAAATCTTGGAAACTGTCTTGATGTACGTTCAGGATATTCTGACTGCCACAAGAACTTTCTCTTGATATAGGTTATATGTGGATATCCTGAGAGAATTCGGATGATATCCTCACACAATCCGATGGTATTTTTCCTCAAACCCAGTAAATCACATGGTTGATTGGTATAGCTGGCAGAAATCCGCCAAAATCTTATTTCACACTGAAAAGGGAAATTAAGGTCCCTGCCACCCAAAATACATTAAACACACATATTACACAAAAAATGGACCTCGCAACATGTACTATTTTTTTTCGATGGTTCCCTGCATTCATGGTAAATGTTGGTAAATGGGTTTTCCTGACATGAGTGGTTAGATTCCCCAATATGCGTTAATGGCGCACGATTTTTTTTTTTGATACACCTTAAACGCATATTGACCCCCCCCGCTAACAGAATTGGACCATAAACGCATATTGGGCAAATAAACAGGACTTCACGAAATTTACTAGGCTGGGGGGTGGTTTATACCCATAAAAGTGGTGATTTTACCCTCTGGTAAACATACATAAAAACTATTGAAAATGGCCCATTTATAGTTAATACATGTTAATACCCATAAAACTGGTGATTTTAATACTATACCAACCATGACTGGTTGGTGGTATACCTACCCCTATGAAAATTTGATATAGTCAGTTGGAATGATGACATTCCCAATATATGGACAAATAAAAAATGCCCCAAACCACCAACAATGAAAATGGTGATTTTATGATAGATTTGGGGGATGGTTTATGACATGTCATTTTTAACACATTATATAAATTGGTTCTAATGATTATAATAATGATTAACAAACCCATCAACTAGAAGTTCTATCCCCGTGATAAAGTATAGAATTCACCAAGATATGTGCCCAGAAAGTGTGGGGATTTGTTTTAACTTCGAGATATCAATATATCCTATATCAATATCATTCAAGATCCATTATCCATATTTATCCATTATCCGTATTGGATTATCAACACTATGACTATCCATTATTGTTATCCCTTATCCATATTCAATCTCCATTATCCACTATCCATTATCCATATTCATTCTCTATTCTCCATTTTCCATTATCCATATTCATATATATATATATTGATTAATATATCCATTTTCCATATATTATCAATACATATCAATACCGTCAATACCAATTTTCTGACTATGGTGGTTTCAGTAGTTCCAACCCAGCGCGGCCAAGTGACCCCCGAAGTGATCTCCTCTCCTCTCAGGAAGACCTCGGAGCGAGTTGCGGCGCTGAGATGGACCTCAATAAGCTCCGGTCCAAGCGGGGAGAAACATCATATATAACATCATTTTTTTTAAAAAAAATATGTTTAAAAAAACATACTGTGCGTAAAGTTTAAAAACATGCAGTACATATTTGTATGTATAAATGTAGTTAGATAGACCTGTTATTGAACTTCATTGAGCCACATCATTGTTACTACATTACTGTTTGCCATTTCACTCATTCATCATCATTCATCATCATCATCATCATCACCATCATCATCATCATCATCATGTTGATGTAACATACCAAGTGGGTGATCCACTTGTCTCCATTTCATCTCCGGCACCAAGGCGTCCCACATCATAGGCATTGGTCCACTTTTCGTCCGTGGGGTCTGGCATGGTGTAGAAGGGTCGCACCTCCTGGTTTCACAAGGGAGTGAAGGTGGCCTTCAGTCCACAAGATCTCTGAGATCTCTGAGATCTCTGGAACTTGGCAAAAG